GTAGGCCTCCTTGCTCGCACACACTTTTTCAGTTCTGCCCACACATTTTCTATAGGATTGAGGTCAGGGCTTTATGATGGCTTCCTCATGATGCCATCTATTTTGTGAAGTGCACCAGTCCCTCCTGCAGCAAAGCACCCACACAGCATGTTGCTGCACCGTGCTTCACGGTTGGGATGGTGTTCTTCGGCTTGCAAGGCACCCCCTTTTTCCTCCAAACATAACGATGGTCATTATGGCCAAACAGTTCTATTTTTGTTTCATCAGACCAGAGGACATTTCTCCAAAAAGTAAGATCTTTGTCCCCATGTGCAGTTGCAAACCGTAGTCTGGCTTTTTATGGAGGTTTTGGAGCAGTGGCTTCTTCCTTGTTGAGCAGCCTTTCAGGTTATGTCGATATAGGACTTGTTTTACTGTGGATATAGATACCTTTGTACCTGTTTCCTCCAGCATCTTCACAAGGTCCTTTGCTGTTGTTCTGGGATTGATTTGCACTTTTCGCACCAAAGTACGTTCATCTCTAGGAGACAGAACGCGTCTCCTTCCTGAGCGGTATGACGGCTGCGTGGTCCCATGGTGTTTATACTTGCGTACTATTGTTTGTACAGATGAACGTGGTACCTTCAGGCGTTTGGAAATTGCTCCCAAGGATGAACCAGACTTGTGGAGGTCTACAATTATTTTTCTGAGGTCTTGGCTGATTTCCCATGATGTCAAGCAAAGAGGCACTGAGTTTGAATTTAGGCCTTGAAATACATCCACAGGTACACCTCCAATTGACTCAAATGATGTCAATTAGCCTATCAGAAGCTTCTAAAGCCATGACATCATTTTCTGGAATTTTCCAAGCTGTTTAAAGGCACAGTCAACTTAGTGTATGTAAACTTCTGACCCACTTGAATTGTGATACAGTGAATTATTAGTGAAATAATCTGTCTGTAAACAATTGTTGGAAAAATTACTTGTGTCATGCACAAAGTAGATGTCCTAACCGACTTGCCAAAACTATAGTTTGTTGAAAAGAAATTTGTGGAGTGGTTGAAAAACGAGTTTTAATGACTCCAAACTAAGTGTATGTAAACTTCCGAATTCAACTGTAGGACCTGTTTCAAATTATCTCTTTTATGCTCAACTTAGCCACTTCATATGTGCACTCGCTCCGGAATGGGAAAAATACCCTTACTATTTTATTTAGCAAAATTCTATTATATTCTTCTTACTATAAAATCATATCATATAAAATAATGGCACGGGACTTATAAGCACATCTTGTCAGCTAAATGAACAAGCCTACAGCCTATGGCATGGAGCATAGCCAGATAACAAACAGCAGGCCAACTAATATTCTGTTCTTCTGAAATACATTTTCTTCATATCATAATGTTTCTTTAGACCTGACTAAAATAAATAATGTATTTATTGTGATGGTGCATATTAAATTGATTTATTATACTTTTTTAAATGTAGATGTTCCAAAGGCGGCATCAGTGGCTCGTATGCAGCTTGTATGCGTGGAGGCCTGGAGATGCTAAACTTGTTTATGTTAATTAACAGTCAATTACCGTGAGACCGGCATTCTTTTGCATGACCATAACCGGCTGACAAAATGTTATGACCGCCGCAGCCCTACCTGAGACCCAGCAATTCATTTTTGTCCTGTCTAGTGGACATCAGTTCTTGGTCGATATCTCTGAGGCCATACAAGCCACTGGATTATGTCCTGTTGTCTGTTTGAGAGGACATTCTGGGCTTTTCAATGATATCACATGTGTGTGGGGTGTGACCTTGACAACTTAATCTTCCTGGTTCTTAGAAAAATGGCTGCCATCAAAACACATTTTATGGAAATTTGAAAAGAAGTGTGTGTAATTATTAATTATCATTGTGTAAAAATGATTTCACATTAAATAAAAGCTAAATAAGAGGTTACCAAGAAATGTCCTCTGTAGTGGACACCCGGATGCCGAAACGATGTGTTTTACCTACAGTACCCATCGACTGTAATGTAAATGTTTTCATATTTACTTCCTAATGACCACTACAGAGGACACTTTTGTACTTACAATAAAAGATAAATAACAATATATATTTTTTTTAACATCTTTATTTTTATTTTTTCATACACTTAATGGGTTTTTTTTCCGGATCAGAAAGATAATAAACAATATCTTTCTGTCCTTCCCCCCAATTGAAACTGAAAATATGTATCTCTGCCCAATGGCAAAATGAGTAGAATTGCATGAAAAGTGTTATAACATTTCAACATTTGCTCTCTGCCCCATGCCAAAACGTGTAGAACAGCAGAAAACTTGTTTTAAAACTGCAAAAATATATACAGTGGGGAAAAAAAGTATTTAGTCAGCCACCAATTGTGCAAGTTCTTCCACTTAAAAAGATGAGAGAGGCCTGTAATTTTCATCATAATTTTCATCATAGGTACAGGTCAACTATGACAGACAAAATGAGATTTTTTTTCTCCAGAAAATCACATTGTAGGATTTTTAATGAATTTATTTGCAAATTATGGTGGAAAATAAGTATTTGGTCAATAACAAAAGTTTCTCAATACTTTGTTATATACCCTTTGTTGGCAATGACACAGGTCAAACGTTTTCTGTAAGTCTTCACAAGGTTTTCACACACTGTTGCTGGTATTTTGGCCCATTCCTCCATGCAGATCTCCTCTAGAGCAGTGATGTTTTGGGGCTGTCGCTGGGCAACATGGACTTTCAACTCCCTCCAAAGATTTTCTATGGGGTTGAGATCTGGAGACTGGCTAGGCCACTCCAGGACCTTGAAATGCTTCTTACGAAGCCACTCCTTCGTTGCCCGGGCAGTGTGTTTGGGATCATTGTCATGCTGAAAGACCCAGCCACGTTTCATCTTCAATGCCCTTGCTGATGGAAGGAGGTTTTCACTCAAAATCTCACGATACATGGCCCCATTCATTCTTTCCTTTACACGGATCAGTCGTCCTGGTCCCTTTGCAGAAAAACAGCCCCAAAGCATTATGTTTCCACCCCCATTTATTCACAGTAGGTATGGTGTTCTTTGGATGCAACTCAGCATTCTTTGTCCTCCAAACACGACGAGTTGAGTTTTTACCAAAAAGTTCTATTTTGGTTTCATCTGACCATATGACATTCTCCCAATCATCTTCTGGATCATCCAAATGCACTCTAGCAAACTTCAGACGGGCCTGGACATGTACTGGCTTAAGCAGGGGGACACGTCTGGCACTGCAGGATTTGAGTCCCTGGCGGCGTAGTGTGTTACTGATGGTAGGCTTTGTTACTTTGGTCCCAGCTCTCTGCAGGTCATTCACTAGGTCGCCCTGTGTGGTTCTGGGATTTTTGCTCACCGTTCTTGTGATCATTTTGACCCCACGGGGTGAGATCTTGCGTGGAGCCCCAGATCGAGGGAGATTATCAGTGGTCTTGTATGTCTTCCATTTCCGAATAATTGCTCCCACAGTTGATTTCTTCAAACCAAGCTGCTTACCTATTGCATATTCAGTCTTCCCAGCCTGGTGCAGGTCTACAATTTTGTTTCTGGTGTCCTTTGACAGCTCTTTGGTCTTGGCCATAGTGGAGTTTGGAGTGTGACTGTTTGAGGTTGTGGACAGGTGTCTTTTATACTGATAACAAGTTCAAACAGGTGCCATTAATACAGGTAACGAGTGGAGGACAGAGGAGCCTCTTAAAGAAGAAGTTACAGGTCTGTGAGAGCCAGAAATATTGCTTGTTTGTAGGTGACCAAATACTTATTTTCCACCATAATTTGCAAATAAATTCATAAAAAATCCTACAATGTGATTTTCTTGAATTTTTTTCTCAATTTGTCTGTCATAGTTGACGTGTACCTATGATCAAAATTACAGGCCTCTCTCATCTTTTTAAGTGGGAGAACTTGCACAATTGGTGGCTGACTAAATACTTTTTTTCCCCACTGTATACACCCCATGGCAAAAATGTGGAGAATTGCAGGAAACTAACTTTAAAGGGGCAATCAGCAGTTGCTACATCCATTTTTGGACTTATATATTTATTATATGTACCCCATTTATTCTTGAAGAATATAACTTATACATTCCTCATGAGCTTAGTTCAACTGTGGTACCCTATCAGAACCCAACATATTAGCTTGTTTTCTGCAATGTTTGTATCCTCAAAACATGGTTAAAACTATAATTTTGATATCATGGATGGTTAGTCCTTGTATCCATAGCTCTTTCTATGAATAAATTTCTCCAGCCACATCCCTCAGCTTTTAACTGAACCAGGGGCGGGGAGCCCACTTTGTTATTGTTTCTACTGCTGACTGCCGCTTTAAAACGTACATTTTCCTCTCCGCCATCAAGAAGGGGGCCCCCCCAACCAAATCTCGCATAGGGCCCCCAAAAGGTTAGAGCTGGCCCTGCCCTTATGTAAGAAGATACAGGATATACAATGTAAGAGTACAGGACAGAATGTAAATAAACTATCCCTCTTATTACTAAGAACAGCTACACCACAGGCCTAACCTAACCTACCCATCAGCAAGCAGTTAAAGATCAAATCCACATTTGGGGAAACAGCGCCACTGTTCTCCCCAGCGCCTTTGTTATCGTTTTTGTGTTGTTGATGAAACGGATGAGAGGAGCGTCCTGCAGCGTGGCAAACAAAATGTGCAGTACATATTCTGCTGTTCTATCGCACGTGCCATGATGTCTAAGGGGGAAAAAACAGTGTTCGTTGTTTGCAGTAACTTTTTTGTTGTAATATCCCAAACGGACGTGGCAGTTTCACCAATTAAGGATTCTTTAAGTATGCTATAAAGTTGAGAGCCTGTGAGAGGGTTTTGTGTTTACAAAAACAGTCATGTAGGCTTTTTTACATAATAGTGTAGGTTAAGAGCAAGGATAAACTGATATTAAGATATGCTTTACTCATATTGATATCAAATCGAATTATCGATGTTGGTGCCCACCATTAATAATAATGTTTTACGTGTATTTTGTTCTAGATGGATAAGATATTCAACGTTCTCGCGCAGCACAGACTGGAGTCCTACTACAATCAATTCCTCACTTTGGGTGTCCAAGATGAGAGAGATTTCATTGATGGCGTAAATGGTGAAGATTTAGACAAAATGAGTAAGGTCACAGACATGTAACTGACTCAATGACACCATATTGACACTGTGTAGTTCTTAGCTAGACGAGCCTTGAATCAGGTTCCATTTAACATCATAGCCAAGAGTGATTTATTCTTATACCAACCCATGTCGTTATAGACAAAAATGCTAACACACAATCAGTCTCAACCTGTTTTTATTGCATGTCTGATGTAGTTGGCCTACAATTGCTAGTTGCTATCAAGCTGACTAACCTACTGGTGAAAATCAGATTAATCACAGTTTTGGTTTCATTGTGAATGTATCGCTGCAACAGAATGAATGAATTATATAATAATAAATTAATAAGATATTAATATATAATATACTAAAGACTGGCAGTAAAGGGTGCATCACAAAGTACAAGATGAATAGGGGGTCAATGGATATTTCACTTTAAAGTCCTAGTTTTTATGGCCTCAATCCGAATAATAAGATCTAGGTTTGACATTGTGACAATGTTTCATTTAGTCATAACATGTAAAAAATTGTTCTTGTACTATTGGGCCCCATTCATTTTGCACTTGTTTGGTTGAACTTATTTGCCATTGTGGGGCACACATCAGCATACAATGGGATTATTAGCAAACTGCATGGCTGGTCCAAAAGGGACTGTGGTTACAGTATTTATGTTTTTGCTATTTTGTGTCGGTTTCATAACCTTATTGCCAAGTAATTTTTGTTATAACAGATTTCAGTCAAGTAGAAAAGAATCGCTTTGAAAAAATGAAAGATTTCATCCAACGACTCAGAGCGCCACAACAAGCGATGCCTGTACAGAAATCAATGGAGTCTTTCCATCTGCGGTACACATACCCCCACTGTCCTGAGCCAAAAGACATCAGAGGTGAGACATAGCAGTAGGTCTTATAGGAAAGAGGAGAGCATTTTATTCAAAGGGATTCTAAAACTCATATCAAAACCATAAAATCACTAATAGTCATTATGCCCCTCTTTGTGGCATGCCTCATGTTTGACTATATTTTGAATGCAGACATGGATCCTGCCCAAAACACAGTTGAAGATCTGATGCTAAGGATTTGTCACCAAGAGGCCATTGGGAATTCCAAAGCCGTGTGCCTCTACACCATTGAGGGAATGCCTTTAACTGATGATCCTTTCTTCAACACATGTAAGTATGCCAGATATAGTATGCTTTTTTAAATACCCCATCATGAAAACACATTCACATTCATGACTAAATAGGGTATTCTTTCATAAAGAAAAAAAAATGTTGTGACTTGCTTCAGCTGTCCATAAGTATTTTATGTTAGTTTAAGTAGTTTAGAAGTTTAAATTGTTAGAGGCTAGTGTTGAAAATGTGAGGCTAGTATAATAGTGACTGTGTTATAAATGTTAATTACGTTTATTTGAACAGGGACAAAAAAAACATACATCTCAGTAAGACCTCCTGTAGCTCAGTTGGTAGAGCATGGCGCATGCAACGCCAGGGTTGTGGGTTCGATTCCCATGGGGGGAATGAATTCACTCTGGATAAGAGCCTCTGCTAAAATGAACCCCCCCCAAAAGAAAGTGAAATTGTGTTTTAACGGATTTAGATAACAGCTAATTCCATCTGCAATGGGATCGTAGCCTTCAGTGACTGTAACCCAGAAGTAGTACCTACATTTTCATACTGGTCCCCCGTGGGAATCAAACCCACGGTGGTCCTCTGTAGCTCAGCTGGTAGAGCACGGCGCTTGTAACGCCAAGGTAGTGGGTTCGATCCCCGGGACCACCCATACACAAAAATGTATGCACGCATGACTGTAAGTCGCTTTGGATAAAAGCGTCTGCTAAATGGCATATTATTATATTATTATAACCCTGCCGTTGCAAGTACCATGCTCTACCAACTGAGCCACACGGGACCTTAGTACTAGTAGTAGTAGGAGTGACTGTGTTAGAAGTAGGTCTTACAGTAGTGCCAGTTACTGTTGAGTAGGGCAGCTGGGTAAAGTTCATGATGCCGTTGACCTTAACAAGGGCCCCAGGACCAGTGGAAGCTAAATAGCCCCATAACATCAAAGATCCACCACCATATTTTACAGCAGGTATGTATTTTTTTTCTGCTCATGCATTCTCATTTCGATCCCAAACCCACCACTGGTGTGTGTGGCAAAATAGCTCTATTTTCATGTCATCCAACAAATGTAAACACCTGGAGTTTGCTAAACAGCACTAGCACTTGGATTGGAACCTGTGCCTTGGTCAGATGACATGAAAATATAGCTCTTTCGCCACACACACCAGTGGTGGGTTTGGCGTTGATATGAGAATGCATGAGCAGAAAATAACCCCATACCTACTGTAAAATATGGTGGTGGATCTCTGATGTTATGGGGCTATTTAGATTCCACTGTTGAGCAGACACGTTTTTAGCAGGGGTTGGATTTTGTTTTGCCATTTATGAGCATATTTCATGCAATTCTATGTCATTTACATAATAGAAGTAAAATGGGGCTATGCCTTAGCTTCCTTTATATTGTGTTAATATTAATATCATACAGTGGACGCCTAAGCCTAAAGGCCTATGCATGCAATGCCCTGATGCGTTTCAGCTAAACTCTCTGACAGCTGAACCATGAGCTGGACAATTATTATTTTAGGAAAGTAAAAACCAATAAAACAATAGGCTATAAAGTTTTGTATATGCTACATATTGAAACATAAGGAATAGAGTTTTTGTAATTTGTTATAGGCTGTTTTTAAGGGTAGGTAAATGTGGCTCATTTGGCTAATATCCTTCGTTTATTGATGGTGCTGGCTGTGTGGGGTGGACGCCCTAATTGGTTACACACCCAAAGCAAATGAATGAGGGTACATTTCTCAAATGTCCGATAAATTTATATCTTCCCAGTCACTTGTCCAGCGCCAAATTTCCTAACGGAAACCCTGCTATATAGTCTATATACAGTTGAAGTCGGAAGTTTACATACACTTAGGTTGGAGTCATTAAAACTCGTTTTTCAACCACTCCACAAATTTCTTGTTAACAAACTATAGTTTTGGCAAGTCGGTTAGGACATCTACTTTGTGCATGACACAAGTAATTTTTCCAACAATTGTTTACAGACAGATTATTTCACTTATAATTCACTGTATCACAATTCCAGTGGGTCAGAAGTTTACATACACTAAGTTGACTGTGCCTTTAAACAGCTTGGAAAATTCCAGAAAATGATGTCATGGCTTTAGAAGCTTCTGATAGGCTAATTGACATAATTTGAGTCAATTGGAGGTGTACCTGTGGATGTATTTCAAGGCCTACCTTCAAACTCAGTGCCTCTTTGCTTGACATCATGGGAAAATCAAAATAAATTAAATTTTAGTCATTTAGCAGACGCTCTTATCCAGAGCGACTTACAGTTAGTGAATACATTTTATTAATTTTTTTATACTGGCCCCCCGTGGGAATTGAACCCACAACCTGGCGTTGCAAACGCCATGCTCTATCAACTGAGCTACATCCCTGCCGGCCATTCCCTCCCCTACCCTGGACGACGCTGGGCCAATTGTGCGCCGCCCATGAGTCTCCCGGTCGCGGCCGGCTGCGACAGAGCCTGGATTCGAACCAGGATCTCTAGTGGCACAGTTAGCACTGCGATGCAGTGCCTTAGACCACTGCGCCACTCAGGAGGAATCAGCCAAGACCTCAGAAAAGCAATTTCTTTGTCCATTAAAATGATCAGAAATACAGTGTAGACATTGTCAATGGCTATTGTAGCTGGAAACGGCAGATTTTTTAAGCATTACTATTTAGCACACGCTCTTATCCAGAGCAATTAGTGTTAAGTGCCTTGCTCAAGGGCACATCGGCAGATTTTTCACCTAGTCTGCTCAGGGATTAGAACCAGTGACCTTTTGGTTACTGGCACAACACTCTTAACCACTAAGCTACCTGCCGCCCCCAAGCGACCCCAAACTTTTGAAAGGTAGTGTATATATAATATAATTTGAGGTAAAATGACATGGAAGATCTCTTGTGTTGACAAGCATCTTATATTACAACCATTTTAGGGTCTTTGAAAGACAGGCACATTGAAAATGGAAGTGAGCTTTACGCCATATTTACACCCAAGGAGAACTTGAAACAAGCTCCCCAAATGCCACAACGAGAGATGACTGACATCTCAGGAGAGGAGAATGTTCGATGCCACATTATGCTCAAGGTGAATTCATCACATTATTGAAAAATTATTTATAGCTGTTTAGCTGTATCTAAAACTGTGATTATAACTCCTTACTTTTCAAAACCTGTATGTATTATGAAAGGGTGTAATACCAGAGGGGTATACTACAGCACTGGCTAGATCTATTCTGGATGTTCTAAAGCTAGCTAGCTTCAGTTAGCTTCGCATTCCAATTTATGCTTCATGGATATCACAAAGGTGGATATTGATCTAACACCTGCTGCTAACACAAACCAGGCTTGGAACTGCATGTGCATGTTGCGTGTGCATTGCTTGCTGTTTGGGGTTTTAGGCTGGGTTTCTGTATAGCACTTTGTGACATCTGCTGATGTAAAAAGGGCTTTATAAATACATTTGATTGATTGATTGATGTGGATAGCCCAGCGAGTCGAACGCCCATAACTTCATACAATGCTCAAACAGAAACCCATTGTCGAGCCAATGCCACCTTTTTTTTGTTGTTGGTAGAAATCAAAATGAAAGAAAGGCTGTCCTATAAAGGATAAAGTGGAGTTAGCTTGCCACGGAGCAGGTTAGAGCTGAAAGATTTGTTGCCATAGAAATGTACCTAGCCAAAAGGTGAGCCTGCTTTGCGTCAATGGTTATCCAGAGTTTAAGAGTTCACCAAAGTTAGCTCGCTAACTCCTCTATCCCGCTACGTGGTATAGCCCTCTGGTAGCAACTAAGGTGTCTCTGTAAATAATGTCTGTCAATTATTGAATATACTGTACTTTTCATCAACAGGGAGACTATGAGGTCAAGGTGGACTTGGAAAGTGACACAATTAGAGTCTTGAGACAAAAGCTCTCTAATGAAAGTGGAATCCCAGCACATGTCCTCCTTTATAAGTAATGTCGTGCATATATAATTATGATTTAATCATTAATGAATACATTTAATAACAGAAAAAATGATGTCAATTAATAAACCACAGCGCATCTTATAATTTGACCATCTATAGTTTCAATACAACTTTTTTCTAATATTGACCTTTTTGCAGAGGTGAACACGGTGAAACTTTGCAAGATTGTGGAATCAATGAGGAGACAACTGTTCACTTCTCTTTGTCCTCCTTCCCCGATGAAAAGCCAGACAACATGGAATTCTACTTGAATGATGTTGTACCCTCAGTGCAACAAACCCAGAAAGGACTCAGTGCTTTCTTTTCTTCACTATATACCATTGTGAGATATTCAGATATTTACATCGTCTTGTTACAGTCATTTTGACCATGACGTGGTAATCATTTATTAACACTTCAGATGTTTGTATTACCATGTTCAGGTAAAGAGTGCTACAGTGTTCCTTTGCTTGTGTTATTGGATTTTCAATGTACAGTACCTTGCCCCATCCAGCCAACCCATCATGCATTAAATGATCTTCCCTAATATCCTTACAGAGTGTTAAACATTCTGGAGAGGGATTCAAGAAAGTGAATGCATACATTCGAAAGCTCAGTGGATGTAATCCCCTGGCGCAAAGTTTGCATCAGCTGTTGGGCAGAAATGAAAGTGGAAGTAGGACCCAGAAGGTGATGCATATTTTGTCACACAAATGTACTGTACACATACGATATCATGTAAGTCCACAAATAGATTCATAACATGTATTTGTTTTAGATTGCCATTGTTGAAGGATTGTACACTCTCTTCAGAGAGCTGTTGCCAAGCCTCAATAAAAAAAGAGGTGACAAGATCATTGAAGACCCTGACGTTTTTGAGAATGCACCAGTTTGCTGGGCCTACCTGATGTCTAAAGCAGAGGTATACCCATTGTTTTTTGAGATACCATTGATAACACATTATGGATCTTATTGTATTACACGTTATAAAATGTTTTTAATGGGGAACTGAGATACTGCACCTCTATTTGTTTGGCATTTAACATATAATTCAGACCAGGTACATGACTTCACAGGTCAGAATTAAACATTACTCAAACAAATTACCCTAATATGTATCTGTTTTCTATCTCTCTGTCTACCCTAGAAAGAGAGTTCACAACATGAGGTCTTTGCACCGATAAATTTGACCTCTCAACAAGGAGTACGCTTTTGCGACCCAGTTCATGTACCTGGATTACCAGATGTCTTTGAAAGAGAGTATGTCATACAGACAATTAAAGGTAAAACATCAGTAGTTGTGGGTATTTATAATATGCACAGCTCTGTGGGCACAATATAATTTCAGTAACATCTACATGTGGCACAATGACCAATAGTACTGGCCTGAAATCCAGAACCTGTTTTGTGCTTACATGCCACAACCAGTACTCTGTGTGATGCCAAACATGTTCGGCATAACAAGGAGTGGCAACATTTACATTTACGTCATTTAGCAGACGCTCTTATCCAGAGCGACTTACAAATTGGTGCATTCACCTTATAGCCAGTGGGATAACCACTTTACAATGTTTTTTTTTTTTTGGGGGGGGGGGGGGGTGGGGTGGGGTAAGGGGGGGGGTAGAAGGATTACTTTATCCTATCCCAGGTATTCCTTAAAGAGGTGGGGTTTCAAATGTCTCCGGAAGGTGGTGAGTGACTCCGCTGTCCTGGCGTCGTGAGTGAGCTTGTTCCACCATTGGGGTGCCAGAGCAGCGAACAGTTTTGACTGAGCTGAGTGGGAACTGTGCTTCCGCAGAGGTAGGGGAGCCAGCAGGCCAGAGGTGGATGAACGCAATGCCCTCGTTTGGGTGTAGGGACTGATCAGAGCCTGAAGGTACGGAGGTGCCGTTCCCCTCACAGCTCCGTAGGCAAGCACCATGGTCTTGTAGCAGATGCGAGCTTCAACTGGAAGCCAGTGGAGTGTGCGGAGGAGCGGGGTGACGTGAGAGAACTTGGGAAGGTTGAACACCAGACGGGCTGCGGCATTCTGGATGAGTTGTAGGGGTTTAATGGCACAGGCAGGGAGCCCAGCCAACAGCGAGTTGCAGTAATCCAGACGGGAGATGACAAGTGCCTGCATTAGGACCTGTGCCGCTTCCTGTGTAAGGCAGGGTCGTACTCTCCGAATGTTGTAGAGCATGAACCTACAGGATCGGGTCACCGCCTTGATGTTAGCGGAGAACAACAGGGTTGTTGTCCAGGGTCACGCCAAGGCTCTTCGCACTCTGGGAGGAGGACACAACAGAGTTGTCAACCGTGATGGCGAGATCATGGAACGGGCAGTCCTTCCCCGGGAGGAAGAGCAGCTCCGTCTTGCCAAGGTTCAGCTTGAGGTGGTGATCCGTCATCCTCACTGATATGTCTGCCAGACATGCAGAGATGCGATTCGCCACCTGGTTATCAGAAGGGGGAAAGGAGAAGATTAGTTGTGTGTCGTCTGCGTAGCAATGATAGGAGAGGCCATGTGAGGATATGACAGAGCCAAGTGACTTGGTGTATAGCGAGAATAGGAGAGGGCCTAGAACTGAGCCCTGGGGGACACCAGTGGTGAGAGCATGTGGTGCGGAGACAGCTTCTCGCCACGCCACTTGGTAGGAGCGACCGGTCAGGTAGGACGCAATCCAAGAGTGAGCCGCGCCGGAGATGCCCAGCTCGGAGAGGGTGGAGAGGAGGATCTGATGGTTCACAGTATCAAAGGCAGCAGACAGGTCTAGAAGGACAAGAGCATGGGAGAGAGAGTTAGCTTTAGCAGTGCGGAGAGCCTCCGTGACACAGAGAAGAGCAGTCTCAGTTGAATGACCAGTCTTGAAACCTGACTGGTTTGGATCAAGAAGGTCATTCTGAGAGAGATAGCAAGAGAGTTGGCTAAAGACGGCACGCTCAAGAGTTTTGGAGAGAAAAGAACGAAGGGATACTGGTCTGTAGTTGTTGACATCAGAGGGATCGAGTGTTGGTTTTTTGAGAAGGGGTGCAACTCTCGCTCTCTTGAAGACGGAAGGGACACAGCCAGCGGTCAAGGATGAGTTGATCAGCGAGGTGAGGTAAGGGAGAAGGTCACCGGAGATGGTCTGGAGAAGAGAGGAGGGGATAAGGTCAAGCGGGCAGGTTGTTGGGCGGCCGGCCGTCACAAGTCGCAAGATTTTATCTGGAGAGAGAGGGGAAAAGAAGTCAAAGCATAGGGTAGGGCAGTGTGAGCAGGACCAGCAGTGTCATTTGACTTAACAAACGAGGATCGGATGTCGTCAACCTTCTTTTCAAAATGGTTGACAAAGTCATCCACAGAGAGGAGGAGGATTCAGCAGGGAGGAGAAGGTGGCAAAGACCTTCCTAGGGTTAGAGGCAGATGCTTGGAATTTAGAGTGGTAGAAAGTGGCCTTAGCGGCAGAAACAGATGAAGAAAATGTAGAGAGGAGGGAGTGAAAAGATGCCAGGTCCGCAGGGAGTCTAGTTTTCCTCCATTTCCGCCCGGCAAGGAGTGAAAGGATAGCTAAACAGACTGGTACTCAGGCTACAATAGTACCCTACTAATGGGAAACTGCTCTGCACTACTTGATTCTACAGTACATCAAAAGTGTCAAATGCCATCATATCATGTACCAAATTCCATAACGCAAGATCAATTGGCTGTAGAGTTTAAGCATTGGTTTTGAATCAATTGCTGTGACATGATTGGCTCACTGCAGCCATAATGTTAAACGTAGAAACGTGTTTGCTAAAACTTTGGCATGTTCCTTCAGTATTAAGAATTACAGGCCTTTCTATAGAGCGTGTATTTTAATTATTAGTCAAACCCAGAACTAATAGCAGGTAATAATATCTTGCTTTTTGTAAACAGAAAAAAGTATCACTTTTGATATGTGAATTCAACTTTGACGTATACAGTAGTTTCATGATCAAATGTTGTAATTGCATGATGTGTTTGCATTATGTGTTTTACCATTGCTAAGATGGAGAAAGAATCCCAAACTGCTCTGCTGAGATCTTGAGAGAAACTTCAATGTGGAGAGCTACCGATGTTGAAAAGATTTTACTCAGTCTGCCTCCATCCATCAAAACATTCCCTGTTTGGGTTTCATATGGACTTGTGACTGGTCAAAAGTAAGATTCGTTCATTGTATCATTGAATACTGTATCTGCATTGATAGTGTAATTGGTAATTCATGTTTTATTGTTTAATCAAATTAAAGCTTTCAGATCAAACTAGATGAGACATTTGCCAAGATGACTGAAGAAGTGAAAGCATACCCTCACCTGACAGTCACTCCACCACTGCAGTTGAAGAGTATAGGAGTGGATGGGCCACGTCTCGTTCTTTTGAAAGAAGGTAGGCTACTGGGCTTTGTGCCTACTAGTTAATGTCTTGGTACGATGTATCATTCATGTTTGAGATTATTATGTTCATGGAAAGTCCTATAACGTGGTGTTCGCTCATTGTTGCTTAGGCCTATGCAAATTAATGTGCACAATTCATTCACATTGCAGCAGAATCATCGACGTCTTTGGTTCATCAGACAGCAAAATATGATACACTGCATTTACAGCTAGCACTTTCACATACTGCATGAGTCAGTTTATGACATGCTGGTTATTGAAGCGTGTATTTTATTTATTTTATGGGAATATAAACTTTTTGTAGCATTTTAGTTTATAGTGCTGAAATAAGGGAAAGGAAAGGGGGATACCTAGTCAGTTGCACAACTGCATGCATTCAATTGAAATGTGTCTTCTGCATTTAACCCAACCACTCTGAATCAGAGAGGTGCGGGGGGTTGCCTTAATCGACGTCCACGTCATCGGCGCCCAGGGAGTAGGCTCGTAATTTACATAATAATGAGTTAAGTGTAGTCAATAACAACACGGTAAGGACTGGATAACTATGCACAACAAGCAAAGACCCAAAAGGTACATTCTGAGGTTGGCCCACATACATTGTAAGTATGATGTAGTTCCTCAAACGATTCTGTTCAATAACCAGTCTTTCTACGAAAGTTCCAAGTACATTCTTAATAAGTACGGTGCTGCTGAGAAGAGGTGAAATGGCCATAAATATTTATTACATACAGTGAGGGAAAAAAGTATTTGATCCCATGCTGATTTTGTACGTTTGCCCACTGACAAAGAAATTATCCGTCTATAATTTTAATGGTAGGTTTATTTAAACAGTGAGAGACAGAATAACAACAAAAAAATCCAGAAAAACGCATGTCAAAAATGTTATAAATTGATTTTCATTTTAATGAGGGAAATAAGTATTTGACCCCATCTCAATCAGAAAGATTTCTGGCTCCCAGGTGTCTTTTATACAGGTAACGAGCTGAGATTAGGAGCACACTCTTAAAGGGAGTGCTGCTAATCTCAGCTTGTTACCTGTATAAAAGACACCTGTCCACAGAAGCAATCAATCAGATTCCAAACTCTCCACCATGGCCAAGACCAAAGAGCTCTCCAAGGATGTAAGGGACAAGATTGTAGACCTATTCAAGGCTGGAATGGGCTACAAGATCATCGCCAAGCACCTTGGTGAGAAGGTGACAACAGTTGGTGCGATTATTCGCAAATGGAAGAAACACAAAATAACTGTCAATCTCCCTCGGCCTGGGGCTCCATGCAAGATCTCACCTCGTGGAGTTGCAATGATCATGAGAACAGTGAGGAACCAGCCCAGAACTACACGGGAGGATCTTGTCAATGATCTCAAGGCAGCTGGGACCATAGTCACCAAGAAAACAATTGGTAACACACTACGCCGTGAAGGACTGAAATCCTGCAGCGCCCGCAGGGTCCCCCTGCTCAAGAAAGCACATATACATGCCCGTCTGAAGTTTGGTCAGATGAGTCCAAAATCGAGCTCTTTGGCATCAACTCAACTCGCCATGTTTGGAGGAGGAGGAATGCTGCCTATGACCCCAAGAACACCATCCCCACCGTCAAACATGGAGGTGGAAACATTATGCTTTGGGGGTGTTTTTCTGCTAAGGGGACAGGACAACTCAAAGGGATGATGGACGGGGCCATGTACCGTCAAATCTTGGGTGAGAACCTCCTTCCCTCAGCCAGGGAATTGAAAATGGGTCGTGGATGGGTATTCCAGCATGACAATGACCCAAAACACACGGCCAAGGCAACAAAGTAGTGGCTCAAGAAGAAGCACATTAAGGTCCTGGAGTGGCCTAGCCAGTCTCCAGACCTTAATCCCATAGAAAATCTGTGGAGGGAGCTGAAGGTTCGAGTTACTAAACGTCAGCCTTGAAACCTTAATGACTTGGAGAAGATCTGCAAAGAGGAGTGGAACAAAATCCCTCCTGAGATGTGTGCAAACCTGGTGGCCAACTATAAGAAACGTCTGACCTCTGTGATTGCCAACAAGGGTTTTGCCACCAAGTACTAAGTCATGTTTTGCAGAGGGGTCAAATACTTATTTCCCTCATTAAAATGCTAATCAATTTATAAAAATTTTGACATGCGTTTTTCTGGATTTTTTTGTTGTTATTCTGTCTCTCACTGTTCAAATAAACCTACCATTAAAATGATAGACTGATAATGTCTTTGTCAGTGGGCAAACATACAAAATCAGCAGGGGATCAAATACTTTTTTCCCTCACTGTAACTTGTACTTATTAGCCTCTATTATTTATAGTTTTTAAGTAACCAATCATTATTTCTACATAACAACCAGGAAAATGCATCACACTTTATATCTGTACTTAGCAGCTAAATACTAACTATGAATGGGTTATTACCACATTGTTACCTTGTTGTTGCCATCTTATTTCCCTGTTGTTTCCTCTTACTTCCCAGTCATTGCCCTATTATTTCAGCACTGTAAACTAAAGTGCTAACAAATGTTTTTATGGGAATCATTGCGTTTGGTGTTTTGCTATTTTAAATGCTGGCCTATTGTTGTCCTTTGAGTGGTTAGCAGGATAATTAATTGTTAGTGGTTTTACAGATAACCTGGGTGTTTACATCGAAAAAGCCAAAGCATCTCCTCAGGATTTCGTTGTTTTTGATTGCTTAGCTGGGAAACTCAAAACGTTGAATGTGGACGAATTGGCACATGAGTAAGTACTTATAATATGAAAACGAGTCAAACATTCTGTTTGAAACGATATGAAGCTTCACAATTACAGGTTGGGCAGTTTATGAACATGGATCATATTGATAATGAGTTCAATTAATGGACGTAACTATAATCTCCATCATACCCCTTCATGGCTTATTGTATGTTTTTCATTTCTCTGTAGAATGAGAGACACCAGAAGTGACCAGACCTTCATGACCACCAGGACTCCTAAAGAGGCAATATTGGTAATTTATGATAGATTATATTTGAATATGCAGTACATTTGGAAAGTATTCAGACCCCCCCCCCCCCCCCTTCCACATTTTGTTATGTTACAGTCTTATTCTAAAATGGATAAAATAATTTTTCCCCCCTCATCAATCTACACACAATACCACATAATGACAAAGCGAAAACAGGTTCTTCGAAATTTTAGCAAATTTTTAAACACAAAAAACAGAAATACCTTATATAAATAAGCATTCAGACCCTTTGCTATGATACTCAAAATTGAGCTCAGGCGCTTCCTGTTTCCATTGATCATCCTTGAGATTTTTCTACAACTTGATTGGAGTCCACCTGTGGTCAATTCAATTGATTGGACATGATTTGGAAAGGCACACACCTGTCTATATAAGGTCCCACAGTTGGCAGTGCATGTCAGAGCAAAAATCAAGCCATTAAGTCGAAGGAATTGTCCATAGAGCTCCGAGATAGGATTGTGTTGAGGCACAGATCTGGGGAACGGTAGCCAAAAATGTCTGCAGCATTGAAGGTCCCCAAGAACACAGTGGCCTCCATCATTCTTAAATGGAAGAAGTTTGGAACCACCAAGACTCTTCCTAGAGCTGGCCACCCGGCCAAACTGAGCAATCGGGGGAGAAGAGCCTTGGTCAGGGAGGTGACCAAGAACCTGATGGTCACTCTGACAGAGCTCCAGAATTCCCCTGTGGAGATGGGAGAACCTTCCAGAAGGACAACCATCTCTGCAGCACTCCACCAATCAAGCCTTTTTGGTAGAGTGGCCAGACGGAAGCCACTCCTCAGTAAAAGGCACATGACAGCCCACTTGGAGTTTGCCAAAAGGTACCTAAAGGACTCTCAGACCATGAGAAACAAGATTCTCTGGTCTGATGAAACCAAGCATCATGCTGTGGAGATGTTTTTCTGCGGCAGGTACTGGGAGACTAGTCAGGATCGAGGGAAAGATGAACAGAGCAAAGTACAGAGAGATCCTTGATGAAAACCTGCTCCAGAGCGCTCAGGACCTCAGACTAGGGCGAAGGTTCACCTTCCAACAGGACAACGACCCTAAGCACACAGCCAAGACAATGCAGGCGTGGCTTCGGGACAAGTCTCTGAATGTCCTTGAGTGGCCCAGCCAGAGCCCGGACTTGAACCCGATCGAATATCTCCGGAGAGATCTAAGAATAGCTGTGCAGCGACGCTCCCCATCCAACCTGACAGAGCTTGAGAGGATCTGCAGAGAAGAATGGGCGAAACTCCCCAAATACAGGTGTACCAAGCTTGTAGCGTCATACCTAAGAAGACTCGAGGCTGTAATCGCTGCCAAAGGTGCTTCAACAAACTACTGAGTAAAGGGTCTGAATTCTTATGTAAATGTGATATTTGCAAACATTTCTAAAAACTTGTTTTTGATTTGTCATTATGGGGTATTGTGTTTAGATTAATCAGGAAAAAACCCAATTTAATCAATTTTAGAATAATGCTGTAACATAACAAAATCAAAGGATCTAAATACTTTCCGAATGCACTGTATCTATTTATATTTCTGTATCTAAGGTCAGTTTTGACACTGCAAGTATGAGCCACTACTATGGCTGAAATGATGAGATGTTGGCAAAGACCAAGGAACAGCCCAAGGTATTCACCTTAGAATGATAAGTATGTTGGTGTAACAACATTATACATTATAACAGTTAAGTTAGCTCCTCCTTTACTGTTTTCTCCATCCAACTATCTTTAGGTACTAGTGGATTCAAGCTCCTCCATGAACGAGACATGCTATGATTCAGATGACAAAATGACACGGTTGGATGCAGTCAAACAGCTGTTTGATAACTTCACAACTAGAAGCATGGCTTACGATTTTCATCATGTCATTGGCTTGGTGAAGTTTGACTCATCAGTTAAAAATCTCCACACATTTACAGAGACTCTGGAGACCTTTAAAGTAAATATATTTTTCTCATTAAGTATATTTTCTGAATGCAAAATAGTAAAGCAATGCCATAAAATACAGACCTTGGTGTGCTGAGATCATATACTCGTACTCCCCTCAAATGTGATTTGGTGGGATTCATGGAATCATTCTTTACCCTTTTTCAAGTGAGGTAAAATCTAATCTGGTATGTTATATCAGCTAACGTGACATCATATTACATGTAAAACAAAGAACGTTGGTTATCCCCATTAGATGTTTGGGAGTATACAGAGTGTGCGTCTTTCTTATTCATTTTTTTATCTAATTGTATGTGAACAATTTTGGCACTTACAGGACCACATACACAATCTTAAGGCAAATGGACGCACTGTGCTGTATGATGCCTTGAATCATGGCATTTCCGAACTGGAAAAAGTTGGAAAGCAATTTCCAGACTGCAGACTTCGCATCATATGTCTCACAGATGGGAATGATGTGGGGTAAAACATTGTTATTTATCTTGAGACTTTATCAGTGTGCAAAACAGTGATTACAATCTGTTTGTGCATGGGATATCTATATTTGATATATTTTGTTGTTTTACATGCAATGCAAAAACATAAAGGATAGTGTTCCATTTGGGATTGTATTTATTAATCATTGTATTCATAGGTCAAAGACAAAACCACATGATGTCACAACCAAATTGATGCACTCTAACATTATTGTTGATGCCATCGTTGTCGGAAAGGTTGATAACCACGTGCTCCATGGAATCAGCAATGCAACAGGTATGATGTCTAAGGTGATTCTTGTTTATATCCCATCCCAGTGGGCATACATCATCATAATGATGTCTTCTTTGTGGTAAAAATGTGGATGAAAGGTCAGAATGAATGGATTTTTTTGTGCTAATACTTTCTCATTGTCATAGTTTTTGCATGACTCAAAAGTTTACTAAAGAAGGCCTAAGCAAGTGGAAGAGAGGCATCATTCCAAATGTTTCAACTTGGCATTTATAAAATATTTGTGTCAGTGTTCGGTGTCAGTATTCAATATTACAGTCAGTGGCGAAATGTGACAGAAATCATTACACATGCAATGTTTATCAGAAACTAGTCAAGATGCAGGCTGTGATAATATTTACAAGTAGGTACATTTCATCATAATTCTTGCCACAAATCCTAACCAAAAATGTGCCCCTCAACTCGAACTAACTTGCATTCTGCTAATAAACTACCTAACTGCCTATTCCAATAATACTCCCTATTACTACACAAGCCACAGTAGTTTTTCCCTTGACACATTCAGACCGCATTCAGCAACCTTTCGCCCCCAATTTCATTGTAATATTACAGTATAATGTATAGTAACACATTAAGTATACTTTATAAAGGGATTATACAACGGGTGGGTCTAAGCCTGAATGCTGATTTGGCTAAAACCGCATTCCACAATTTACCACCGGCTAAATCTATGACATTAAAATGCATATTTACTCTGTTCCATCTGACTGCGCAATCCACTGTCTCATCAGCCCAGCCAGGCAATTTATTAACTTGATCCCTACTATAAAAAGCATCTAGACATTATCTCACATTTCTTTTAGACTAACATTTAGTTTTCAACAGCAGAGATTTGTATAAACCTTGCTGTCTGTGTCTCCGACATTTGCAACATTGTTTCAATATTCAAATTTGATCTCCAGCTGTTCCATAGTAATGAACATCTCGGGACGAGACAGAAAGGCAAGCAGCGTTTCTCAGCACACTGTTGTTCAGAGGAGCTAGCCAACAACACAGCTAACACAGTCACTTCAAAGTGAAGCTGGAAAGACTGCAAACTAGCTGCACTAAGTTTAGTTTTACCTTTTTTTCAATTGACATTTCTTTGTATATATCCATCAAAATTATGCTGAGAGGAGCCTCCCAAGTGGCACAGCGGTCTAAGGCACTGCATCGCAGTGCTTGAGGTGGTACTACAGACCCGAGTTCGATCCCAGGCTGTGTCACAACCGGCCATGGCCCAGCGTCGTCCGGGTTAGGGGATGGTTTGGCCGGGGGGGGGGGGCTTTACTTGGCTCATCGTGCTCTAGCGACTCCTTGTGGTGGGCAGGGCGTCTACAGGCTGACTTCAGTCGTCAGTTTAACAGTGTTTCCTCGACACATTGGTGCGGCTAGCTTCTGATTTAAGTGGATGGGTGCTAAGCAACGCGGTTTGGCGGGTCATGTTTCGGGGGACACATGACTCGACCTTCGCCTCTCCCGAGCCTGTTGGGGAGTTGCAGCGATGAGACAAGATTGTAATTGAAATTGGGAGAAAAAGGGGGTAAAAAAATGTAATCTAACAAATCTGCTGAGTCTGTCTCATCCCGACTCCTGACAAGTTCATTACTACGGGCCAGCAGGAGATCAAATTTCAATGTTGCAAATGTCAGAGAGACAGACAGCAAGGTTTATACAAATCTCTGCTATTGAAAATTAAATGTTAGTCTAAAAGAAATGTGAGATAATGTCTAGATGCTTTTTATAGTGGGGATCAAGTTGATAGATTGCCTGGCTGGGCTGATGAGACAGTGTATTGTGCAGCCAGATGTAACAGAGTAAATACGCATTTTAACGTCATAGATCAACCGGAGGTAAATTGTGGAATAGACACCGGCTGGAATGTGGTTTTAACCAATCAGCATTCAGGATTAGACCCACCCGTTTTATAATCACTATTTGATTATGTTGGTAACTCATTGTATAAAAGTGATAATGCCCTCGAAGCCAGTGTTTGGAGGTTATATTGGTATTATTGGCACGGTTTACCGGCCCTCGACTTCGTCACGGGACGAACAACACCCGTGCCAATATATCCTCCAAACACCAGCTTCTCTGGCATTATCACTTAATTGTAAAGGGTTTAGAATTAGTTTGTTTTTAAACTATGACTTAGTTTATAGACAGCTTCTAAATCACTTGTTAAAGATTCTGGTCTAAATGATGTGATTGTCATTAGGATGCATCCTTTTACAACCAGTGTTAATCTTTTTGAAAGCTTAAATTGCATTTGGATCAATTCAGAGGACACATCAGACTAGACTAGTCTATTGAAATTTGTTGTAGCCAACTGGTGTGTTTTTGGGACTCAACAGATGTCCTTTTTTTTCCTTCATAATTGCATCAAGTAATAACATTGAGGCAACTAATTCTCCTTGGTCCATGTCTTGTAGGAGGGTGCTGTTTCAAACCAGAGACAGGTACAGCTGGTCTGAAGCTCTTTGAAATGGAAACAGTTCTATCTTTGGAGATGAGGAAGCCTAAGGAAAAGATCGACCCATCCTCCATTACGAGCGAGGTAGGACCTACAAAGTAAAATCTATTCAAACAGTATACTAATGTTTGTTTCCATGTATTTTATATGAAATAAGTTAAAGGGACACTTTACCACTTTTTTACCCCAGCATCATACCAGTGTCTACATACAGTTGAAGTCGGATGTTTACACACACTTAGGTTGGAGTCATTAAAACTCGTTTTTCAACCACTCCACAAATTTCTTGTTAACAAACTATAGTTTTAGCAAGTCGGTTAGGACATCTACTTTGTGCATGACACAAGTAATTTTTCCAACAATTGTTTACAGACAGATTATTTCACTTATAATTCACTGTATCACAATTCCAGTGGGTCAGAAGTTTACATACACTAAGTTGACTGTGTAATTAAACAGCTTGGAAAATTCCAGAAAATGATGTGATGGCTTTAGAAGCTTCTGATAGGCTAATTACCATCATTTGAGTCAATTGGAGGTGTACCTGTGGATGTATTTCAAGGCCTACCTTCAAATTCAGTGCCTCTTTGCTTGACATCATGGGAAAATCAAAAGAAATCAGCCAAGACCTCAGAAAAAAATGTAGACCTCCACAAGTCTGGTTCATCCTTGGGAGCAATTTCTAAACACCTGAAGGTACCATGTTCATCTGTACAAACAATAGTACGCAAGTATAAACACCATGGGACCACGCAGCCGTCATACCGCTCAGGAAGGAGACGTGGTCTGTCTCCTAGAGATGAACATACTTTGGTGCGAAAAGTGCAAATAAATCCCAGAACAACAGCAAAGGACCTTGTGAAGATGCTGAAGGAAACAGGTACAAAAGTATCTATATCCACAGTAAAACAAGTCCTATATCGACACAACCTGAAAGGCCGCTCAGCAAGGAAGAAGCCACTGTTCCAAAACCGCCATAAAAAAGCCAGACTACGGTTTGCAACTGCACATGGGGACAAAGATCTTACTTTTTGGAGAATTGTCCTCTGGTCTGATTAAACAAAAATAGAACTGTTTGGCTATAATGACCATCGTTATGTTTGGAGGAAAAAGGGGGTGGCTTGCAAGCCGAAGAACACCATCCCAACCGTGAAGCACGGGGGTGGCAGCATCATGCTGTGGGGGTGCTTTGCTGCAGGATGGACTAGTGCACTTCACAAAATAGATGGCATCATGAGGAAGGAAAATTATGTGGATATATTGAAGCAACATCTCAAGACATCAGTCAGGAAGTTAAAGCTTGGTCGCAAATGGGTCTTCCAAATGGACAATGACCCCAAGCGTACTTCCAAAGTTGTGGCAAAATGGCTTAAGGACAACAAAGTCAAGGTTTTGGAGTGGCCATCACAAAGCCCTGACCTCAATCCTATAGAAAAGTTGTGGGCAGAACTGAAAAAGCGTGTGCGAGCAAGGAGGCCTACAAACCTGACTCAGTTACACCAGCTGTGTCAGGAGGAATGGGCCAAAATTCACCCAACTTATTGTAGGAAGCTTGTGGAAGGCTACCAGAAACGTTTGACCTAAGTTAAACAATTTAAAGGCAATACTACCAAATACTAATTGAGTGTATGTAAACTTCTGACCCACTGGGAATGTGATGAAAGAAATAAAAGCTGAAATAAATAATTCTCTCTACTATTATTCTGACATTTCACATTCTTAAAATAAAGTGGTGATCCTAACTGACCTAAGACAGGGAATTTTTACTAGGATTAAATGTCAGGAATTGTGAAAAACTGAGTTAAAATTTATTTGGCTAAGGTGTATGTAAACTTCCGACTTCAACTGTATGTGAAAATGCCATGTTTTTATGTTCTGTATAGATAAGAAGAAAAGGTCCTAATAAAATTACTCCAGAGGATTTTCAAAGACTACAAGTTTATCGGTGGCACAGAGAGCATGCAAACACCCTGCCTTTGGCTGGAAACTTATTGTCGTTTTTTGAAATCACAGTTAGTTTTTTCACAGGAACTTTTCTTCTTATCTTTTTGACTACAGAAAGTAGAAACGTGCCATACAAAGGTATGGTGCAGGACATAATGATATATAAGGGGGAAAAAAACTGGTGAAGTGTCCATTTATAAGTGAAATTATGAACACTGATATTAAACGGATCGTAACGAATGATGTTAATGTCAAGAGTTGCTGTAGGTAGGTGTGGTGTGGAATCAGGCGCAGGACGCAGAAGTAAAGTCCAACAAAATACTTTAGTAGATCATACAAAAATAATCCAAAACCAGCCCGGAGGCGAGAAAAGCGCGCACAGGCGTACACAAACGGGCGCACTAAACAAGTGCGTAATCTTCTCCTAAATACAAACAAGGAGGTAAGCTACAAAATAGCGCACCAAATACAGGTAGCGCAGCAACACGACAAGGAACAATTACACACAACACCTAACTAACAACAAGGAACTAAATAGGGTGCTTAATGAGACATAACACAAAACAGGTGTGACAAACAGACAAAACCAATCAAACAAGAAACATAGAACGGTGGCAGCTAGTACTCCGGAGACGATGACCGCCGAAACCTGCCCGAACAAGGAGGAGGGGCCGCCTCGGCCGAAACCGTGACAGTTAATTTGTTATTCTTTCTTTACAGAGTGTTTTAACTACTCTCTTCGCCAAAAATGGCTATGATGAGCAGCCAGAGGTCTCTCTACCAAGTGAATTAAACAATAAAGTCACTGTGACAGAGATGTAAGTGATGTTCCATTACCAAAATGTCATATTGCATTCTGGGGTGATTTCTGCATGCACAGTATCAGTACCTGTTCAAGCCCATAGTTTTTTGGCAGTGGCTTTAGTAAAAGTCCCAAAGTATGGATTGTGGTCTCTCAATCACAAAAGGTCACGAAGCAAGTACTATATATAACTTTGCAATTTAGGTAAACTACTGTATTTCTTTAACAAAATAAACATCTCCCAAAATAGTTCATTGAAAAAGAACATCAAGGAATCCAAGAGCAGTCGCTTTTTGGAGAAGGACAAACGCATTCTGGAAGAGCTGAAGAGCCTGCATTGTGACCCACATCCATTCTGCACAGTTTTGCCATTGGAGTCAGACTTCAGTAAGTAAGCAGTATTGGGGTATTGTTTTTAGTGTTATTGATTTGATAACACTTGCTATGAATACACTTTTGCTTTATAATTACATTCTTAATGCTTTATATGCTTAGCATAATGCCTTATAATTCACGGCACAGATGTTTATAGACATAACTGCCTATACATCTATAACTGAATTAATAAAGCATTATGAGCAGGTATAATCATTCTTTATGAAACAAAGTGGTTCAGTGGCACAGCAAATAAAGTGTTACAAGTATGCCTATAATGCATAATGATGCGAATTCCTAGGAAATGTTCCTAAGTATTCATAACCCCAAGATATGGTTATGCTTACTTCACTCTAAAGTGGTAGGAACCCTGTTAGCATGCTCTCACAAACAATAATATTGTCGTTATAATGTCTCAAACATTTAATCCCTGTATCTCATTACATACCTTTTCAGCATTTTGGAAGATTCTCATGCAAGGCCCCCCTGATACACCTTATGAGAATGGAGCCTTTGAGCTGTACTGTCAGTTTGGTGCTGAGTACCCTGTCAAACCTCCACTTGTGCGCTTTGTCACACCTGTATCCTTTTACACAATTAATACATGAAGACAGTGTAATTTGTATACTGTGACTGCTTACTGCTGTTACAATGTATTTATTCTCATTACCCAGGACTTCTAGATTTTCAAAGGCGATGGCATTTACCTGCATGTGAAAGTAATTGTTTTGCTTCCACAACATCATAATTATCCCAACATTTACAACATTTACACTTCCTGATTTGCAAAACAACCTATATTTACATGCAAGTGCAAGAGGTTAAATTGAGGCAGGCTAGGGAGTGGTTAGGGTTAGGGTAAGGGATAAATTGAGGCATGCTAGCGAGTGATTAAGGGTTAGGGTAAGGTTTGAAAACTAAAAAAACCTGGACACGCCTGGATTTGAAATGCCGCCACTCTTGGAAGATCAGACTAAAATGGATCACAAATATATCTCTATTGTTATGTTTACTGTTTGTTAAATGCTTTCATATTAACTATTATGAAATTATCCTTAATAATGTGGACAAAGGTGTACCACTGCAACGTAAACAGTGTGGGCCGTATCTGCCACAACATATTTGACCGCAACTACTCGGCTCACATAACCATGAGAGAGATCTTGGATGCTGTGTATGGACTGCTCATTGTCCCTGAACCTGAAGATCCACTGGACAGGTTGACTTGAACAATTATTTGACACTATACAACAGTCATTCTAATTATTTCTATGTAATTTTAAATCCATCTTAGTTTCCAAATGGTATATTCTAAATATTATATTGAATATGTTGAATTCATGCCTACATTAATATTATCTAAATGAAAATGTTTTGTAAAAGTATTTTGGCAGAGGAATTCCTGACCAGCAGAGAAAAATATGAACAAGAGGCCAAGAAAAACACGGAGGAAACTGCAGGCAATTCAATGGATGAAATGGAACAGGTGAATGCACATAGCTCAGCGATTTTACATATTTAGATATGTTTCCTGACCTTAAAAGCAGTCTAGGGACAAAGAGTGTGATGTCGAAGGAGTCTGGCGCAGGAGGGTAATTCACAGAATAACAGGCTTTATTCCGCAACCACAAAGTTACGCAGTAACGCGTCAAAACAATCCAGTGCCTCCACACGGTCAGAGCTCTGACAACAGCCAACAGCTCCCGATCACCAACGTCGTAGTTCTGCTCCGCTTGGGTGGCGTGCCCGAGCGTTGAGATAGGACAGCACCTATCCCTATCTCGGACGCATCCACCTCCACTACGAACGGTAGTGATGGATCGGGATGGGCCAGTACCGGGGCTGAGGTGAACAGACCCCTCAGGTTACTGAAGGCCCTGTCAGCCTCAGCAGACCAGCGGAGTCGGGACGGCCCACCCTTCAACAGAGATGTGATGGGAGCTGCGACCTTGCCAAAGTCCAGGATAAACCTCCAATAATAGTTGGCAAAGCCAATAAAGCGGTGCACCTCCTTCACCCTGGTTGGAGTCTGCCAATTACGCATGGCTGAAATGCGATCTCCCTCCATCTCCACACCTGAGGTGGTAATGCGGTATCTGAGGAAGGAGACGGACTGCTGGAAAAACAGACACTTTTCTGCCTTGGCATAAAGGTAATGTTCCAACAGTCGGGCCAGCACTTTGCGAACCAGGGACAAATGATCGGCGTGCGTAGCGGAATACACCAGAATGTCATCGATGTAGACCACTACACCGAGACCCAGCATGTCCCGAAACACCTCGTTCACAAAAGACTGGAAGACAGGTGGAGCATTCATCAAACCGTACGGCATCACCAGGAATTCGTAATGCCCCGTGGTTGTGCTGAATGCTGTCTTCCACTCGTCCCCCTCTCGGACACACACCAGGTTGTACGCACTCCGGAGATAACTTTTTGTGAAGAAGCGTGCCCCATGCATTGACTCGATCACAGATGGAATGAGGGGTAGAGGATAACTATAATGTATTGTCCCCTTGTTCAGTGCTCGGTAATCAATGCAAGGGCGCAGACCTCCGTCTTTCTTCTTCACAAAAAAGAAACTCGAGGAGGCGGGCGAAGTGGAGGGACGTATGAACCTCTGGCGCAGGGATTCGTAGACATATATGGTCCTCTGTAGCTCAGCTGGTAGAGCACAGCGTTTGTGATGCCAAGGTAGTGGGTTCGATCCCTGGGACCACCCATACACAAAAAATGTATGCACGCATAACTGTAAGTCGCTTTGGATAAAAGCGTCTGCTAAATGGCATATTATAGTATATGTCTCCATCGCCTCCGTTTCAGCCTGCAACAGGGGATACACATGACTCCTGGGAGGCACAGCGTCTACCCTGAGGTTTATCGCGCAATCCCCCACCCGATGAGGTGGTAATTTGGTCGGTGGAGGTAGTGTCTGGACTTTCCATCGTATTTGCACCAACGGAAACACCTAGACAGCTACCCTGACACTGTCGCAACCACCCCGTGAGAACCCTCTGCGGCCATGAAAAGGCGGGGTTGTGTAGTGCTAACCAGGGAAGACCTAACACAACAGGGAAATCAGGAGCCTCAATAATAAAAAAGGTGACTTGCTCTCTATGGGTGCTGTAACTTCCCTAACGAACCTGGACCCTAATGGTCGACTGTCAAGTGCTCTGATGGGGAGTGGAATGGATAGGGGAACCAATGTAATGCCTATACTATGTGCAAATGACCTGTCCATAAAGTTCCCAGCTGCGCCTGAATCGACCAGCGCCTTACACTGGGGAACTACCATGTAATCAGGAAAGTGGATGGGTAGGGTACAGTGCGCAGCAGAGGGCTCTGAACAAGTGTGGGTGTTTGATACCTGGGGTGGCGCGAGAGTGCCCTGCCTGCCGCCTCCAGACCCAAAAGAACGCAGACGACAGTGTGCAGGAGAATGTCCTCTCGTGCCACCAGAGTGACACTGGCGCTGTTGTTCTCCGCTCTCCCGGATCGCCACTCGACCCAGCTCCATCATCTCGTGATGCGGGTTGGGGTGGGGGGTGGAATGGGCAGGTCCCTTCCAGGACGTCCTCTAGAAGCCAGCAGGTTGTCCAACCGGATGGCCATGTCCACCAGTTGATTGAAGGACAAAATGGTGTCCCGGCAGGCTAGGTCCCTTCGGACGTCCTCTCGTAGGTGGCACCGGAAGTGGTCGATGAGGACCCGCTCGTTCCACCCGGGCCCAGCTGCTATAGTACAAACTCCAGGGCGATGTCCTCCGCGGTCCTCGTCCCCTGCCTCTAGTGGACCAGCCGCTTCGCCCGCCTCTCTACCCTCGGGCGGGTGATCGAAGACGGCCCGAAAGAGGCGAGCGAACTCCCCGTAGTTGTCCAACGTGGCTCCTCCTTCACTCCAGACCGCGTTGGCCCACTCCAGGGCTTTCCCCAAGAGGCAGAAGATGAGGGCGGACACCATCTCCCGCTCCGATGGAGCCGGGCTGATGTTCGATAGGTATAACTCCAGTTGTAGGAGGAATCCCTGGCAGAGGGCAGCTGTCAGGTCGAAATCCCGCGGTCGGGATATATGGATCCCTCTGGATCCTGGGGTGTGGGTGGCTGGATCCGGTCGCTCAGCTGGTCCCAAAAGATTGGGTCCTCTCCTCTCCATGCGTTGGACGACCTGGAGAATCCGATTCATCGCTTATCCCAAGCTGGCTAGCATCGTCGAATGCTCCCGGACCCGTGCCACGACTCTGGGCATTTGCTCCTCTCCTACTGACTCCATGTCTTGGTGTGTGATTCTGTGATGAGGTGATGTCGAAGGAGTCAGGAGCAGGAGGGTAATTCACAGAATAACAGGCTATATTCCGCAACCACAGAGTTACGTAGTAACGCGTCAAAACATTCCAGTGCGCAAAACAGGCGCACTGGAAAATACAAGGCACACAGGGAAATATCCCGGCGATACAAAATACAAGGAGCTCCACCGAGCTTCACTATACTCCACAATAAACAATCACACACAAAGACAAGGGGGCAGAGGGACCACTTATACAGGTACTGATGAGGGGATATGAACCAGGTGTGTGTAATAAACAAGGCAAAACAAATGGAATGATGAGATGAGGAGCGGCAGTGGCTAGAAGGCCGGTGACGACGTACGTCGAAGCCTGCCTGAACAAGGAGAGGAGGCAGCTTCGGAGGAAGCCGTGACAGTGACCGCAATCCACACTTTGGTTTACAATTGCTAGTATATCAAAACCAATCTCCCCTGTTAAGAATGTTATCAAATGTAATGCCCAAATCACCTCTTAAATGTATTGTGTCACATGAAATTTGAAATGTAAACATTTAAAACTTTTAAACCATCCCGAGACACACACAGGCACACGCATGCACACACACACACAAACACACACACGCAAGGCGTCAGACTAATCCTCATTATCAATAAGAATACAAACAGTGTAATTATTCCCTCGGTAAGCCAATCAAACAGGCAAAACGTCAGTACAGGGACAAAGTGGAGTCGCAATTCAACGGCTCAGACACGAGACGTATGTGGCAGGGTCTACAGACAATCACAGATTACAAAGGGAAAACCAGCCATGTCGCAGACACCGACATCTTGCTCCCGGACAAGCTAAACACCTTCTTCGCCCACTTTGAGGATAACACAGTGCCACCGACGCGGTCCGCTCCCAAGGTCTGTGGGCTCTCGTTTGTCATGGCCAACGTGAGTAAGACATTTAAGCGTGTTAACCTTCGCAAGGCTGCCGGTCCAGACAGTATCCCTAGCCGCGTCTTCAGAGCATGCGCAGACCAGCTGGCTGGAGTGTTTACAGACATATTCAATCTCTACCGATCCCAGTTTGCTGTCCCCACTTGCTTCAAGATGTCCACCATTGTTCCTGTACCCAAGAAAGCAAAGGTAACTGAACTAAATGACAATAGCCCATTGGCACTCACTTCTGTCATCATGAAGAGCTTTGAGAGGCTAGTTAAGGATCATATAACCTTCACCTTACCTGACACCCTAGACCCACTTGAATTTGCATACCACCCCAACAGATCCACAGATGATGAAATCGCCATTGCACTGCACACTGCCCTATGCCATCTGGACAAGAGGAATAGCTTTGTAAGAATGCTGTTCATTGACTATAGCTCAACCTTCAACACCGTAGTACCCTCCAAGCTGATCATTAAGCTCAGGGCCCTGGGTCGAAACCCCGCTCTGTGCAACTGGGTCCTGGACTTCCTAACGGGCCGCCCCACAGAAGGTGAAGGTAGGAAACAACACCTCCATTACGCTGATCCTCAACACTGGGGCCCCACAAGGATGCGTTCTCAGCCCACTCCTGTACTCCCTGTTCACCCATGACTGCGTGGCCACGCACACCTCCAACTCAATCATCAAGTTTGCAGACGACACAACAGTAGTAGGAAAGCTTCAAGTTCCTTGGCGTACACATCACTGACAATCTGAAATGGTCCACCCACACAGACAGTGTGGTGAAGAAGGCGCAACAGAGCCTCTTCAACCTCAGGAGGCTGAAGAAATTTGGCTTGGCCCCTAAGACCCTCACAAACTTTTACAGATGCACAATTGAGAGCATCCTGACGGGCTGTATCACCGCCTGGTACAGCAACTGCACCGCCCGCAACCGCAGGGTTCTCCGGAGTGTCACGCCCTGGCTCTGGGATTCTGTTATGTTGAGCCAGGGTGTGTGGTTTCTATATGTTTTGTGTGCTAGGGTGTTTATCTAGTTCATTTGTTTCTATGTTGGCCGGTGTGGTTCTCAATCAGAGGCAACGTGAATCAGCTGTTGCTAGTTGTCTCTGATTGGGTACCATACTTAGGTAGCCTGTTTTGCCACAGTGTTTGTGGGATCTTGTTCCGTGTTTGGTTAGTGTCTATTGCCAAGGACGTCACGTATCGTTTTGTTGTTTTGTTCGTGTGATCATTAAAAATAAAAGTATGTTCGCATTCCATGCTGCGCCTTGGTCCTCTGTGTTCGACGATCGTGACAGAAGATCCCACCATAACTGGACCAAGCAGCGTGTCCAGGAGCCAATGCCAGAGAGGGCTCTAAAGCATATCAACCTCGACTGGGTCAAGCCGCGGGAGGAGGAGAGAGGCTGGACTTGGGAGCAGAGGAGCGAGAGTCTGGCGAGAGCCATGGAGGCCTGGCCCACGGAGAGGAGAGACGCCCAGAATTTTTTTTGGGGGGGGCTCACGCCGTGGACGACGGGGCAGCAGGAGGCCGGGATAGAGTGGTTCAGCGGGTTGGCAAAGGAGGCCGCCAGGTTACGGGAGTCACTGGTCACCAGGGGGAAGGAGAATGTAGAGGCACGGTGAGAGGTACTTGGGTGTGTTGCCAGTCCGGTCCGGCCCGTTCCTGATCCCCGCGTAGGGCCAGTGGTGTGTGTCCCCAGTACGGTCCGGCTTGTTCTTGTCCCTCGCACCGAGCCTGTGGTGCGCGTCGCCAGCCCGGTCCGGCATGTTCCTGCCCCTCGCACCAAGCCTGTGGTGCGCGTCGTCAGCCCGGTCCGGCCTGTTCCTGCTCCCCGCACCAAGCCAGTGGTGCGCTTCGTCAGCCCGGTTCGGCCCGTCCCTGCTCCCCGCACCAAGCCTGTGGTGCGCGTCGTCAGCCCGGTCCGGCCTGTTCCTGCTCCCCGCACCAAGCCAGTGGTGCGCTTCGTCAGCCCGGTTCGGCCCGTCCCTGCTCCCCGCACCAAGCCTGTGGTGCGCGTCGTCAGCCCGGTTCGGCCCGTCCCTGCTCCCCGCACCAAGCCAGTGGTGCACTTCGTCAGCCCCAGCAGGGCCAGACCGGACCAGGGGCGCTTTGGGGGGTTTGTTGGAGGGTGGGGGTCAAGCCCGGAGCCGGAACCGCCTCCGAGGAGGAATGCCCACCCGGCCATCCCCTGTTCGGTTTATGTTTGGCGCGGTCGCAGTCCGCACCTTTGGGGGGGGGGGTACTGTCACGCCCTGGCTCTGGGACTCTGTTATGTTGAGCCAGGGTGTGTGGTTTCTATGTGTTTTGTGTGCTAGGGTGTTTATCTAGTTCATTTGTTTCTATGTTGGCCGGTGTGGTTCTCAATCAGAGGCAACGTGAATCAGCTGTTGCTTAGGTAGCCTGTTTTGCCACACTGTTTGTGGGATCTTGTTCCGTGTTTGGTTAGTGTCTATTGCCAAGGACGTCACGTATCGTTTTGTTGTTTTGTTCGTGTGATCATTAAAAATAAAAGTATGTTCGCATTCCACGCTGCGCCTTGGTCCTCTGTGTTCGACGATCGTGACACAGAGGGTGGTGCGGTCTGCCCAACGCATCACCGGGGACACACTGCCTGCCCTCTAGGACACCTACAGCACCCGATGTCACAGGAAGGCCAAACAGATCATCAAGGACATCAACTACCCAAGCCACAGCCTGTTCACCCCACTATCATCCAGAAGGTGAGGTCAGTACAGGTGCATCAAAGCTGGGACTGAGAGACTGAAAAACAGCTTCTATCTCAAGGCCATCAGACTGTTAAATAGCCACCCGGTTACGCAACCCTGCACCTTAGGGAATCACTGGTCACTTTAAATGGAACACTAGTCACTTTAATAATGTTTACATACTGTTTACTAATTTCCTATGTACAGTCGTGGTCAAAATTTTTGAGAATGACACAAATACTAATTTTCACAAAATCTGCTGCCTCAGTTTTGATGATGGCAATTTGCATATACTCCAGAATGTCATGAAGAGTGATCAGATGAATTGCAATTAATTGCAAAGTCCCTCTTTGCCATGAAAATGAACTTAATCGCCCAAAAATATTTCCACTGCATTTCAGCCCTGCCACAAAAGAACCAGCTGCCATCATGTCAGTGATTCTCTCGTTAACACAGGTGAGAGTGTTGACGAGGACAAGGCTGGAGATCACTCTGTCATGCTGATTGAGTTAGAATAACAGACTGTAAGCTTTAAAAGGAGGGTGGTGCTTGAAATCATTGTTCTTCCTCTGTTAACCATGGTTACCTGCAAGGAAACACGTGCCGTCATCATTGCTCAAAAATAGCTTCACAGGCAAGGATATTGCTGCTAGTAAGATTGGACCTAAATCAACCATTTATCGGATCATCAAGAACTTCAAGCAGAGAGGTTCAATTCTTGTGAAGAAGGCATCAGGGCGCCCAAGAAAGTCCAGCAAGCACCAGGACCGTCTCATAAAGTTGATTCACCTGCGGGATCGGGGCACCACCAGTGCAGAGCTTGCTCAGGAATGGCAGCAGGCAGGTGTGAGTGCATCTGCACGCACAGTGAGGCGAATACTTTTGGAGGATGGCCTGGTATCAAGAAGGGCAGCAAAGAAGCCACTTCTCTCCAGGAAAAACATCAGGGACAGACTGATGTTCTGCAAAAGGTACAGGGATTGGACTGCTGAGGATTGGGGTAAAGTCATTTTCTCTGATGAATCCCCTTTCCGATTGTTTGGGGCATCCGGAAAACACCTTGTCCGGAGAAGACAAGGTGAGCGCTACCATCAGTCCTGTGTCATGCCAACAGTAAAGCATCCTGAGACCATTCATGTGTGGGGTTGCTTCTCAGCCAAGGGAGTGGGCTCACTCACAATTTTGCCTAAGAACACATCCATGAATAAAGAATGGTACCAACACATCCTCCGAGAGCAACTTCTCCCAACCATCCAAGAACAGATTGGTGACGACCAATGCCTTTTCCAGCATGATGGAGCACCTTGCCATACGGCAAAAATGATAACTAAGTGGCTCGGGGAACAAAACATCGACATTTTGGGTCCATGGCCAGGAAACTCCCCAGACCTTAATCCCATTGAGAACTTGTGTTCGATCCTCAAGAGGCGGGTGGACAAACAAAAACCCACAAATTCTGACAAACTCCAAGCATTGATTATGCAAGAATGGGCTGCCATCAGTCAGGATGTGGCCCAGAAGTTAATTGACAGCATGCCAGGGCAGATTGCAGAGGTCTTGAAAAAGAAGGGTCAACACTGCAAATATTGATTATTTGCATAAACTTAATGTAATTGTCAATAAAAGCCTTTGACACTTATGGAATGCTTGTAATTATACCATAGTAACATCTGACAAAAATATATCATAACACTGAAGCAACAAACTTTGTGAAGACCAATACTTGTGTCATTCTCAAAACCTTTGACCACGACTGTATATACCGTATTCTACTGTACTATAGCCACTCAGACATGGCTCGTCCTAATATTGATATATTTCTTAATTCCATTATTTTACTTTTTAATGTGTATGTATTGTTTTGAATTGTTACATACTACTGCACTGTTGGTGCTAGGAACACAAGCATTTCGCTACACCCGCAATAACATCTGCTAAATATGTGTATGTGACAAATAAAATGTGATTTGATTGGAATAAAATGCTTAAACACCATACCACTGTTGTATGTAGTATACTACTGTGTATAAATTATAAATAGCACAATTCCTTGGTTTCTATGTTTGTCCGATTCTACATTTGTTTGAACACAAATACTTTTGTTTAACAGCATACATGGTAAGATAATCCTTTATTTTTTACTTACAGAAATTGGTGGGTGAAGAGTTGAGTAAGAAGTTCACACCCTCACATCTAGTTTGTTCACTAACCAAGAAGATGTTCATTGATCCAGTGAAAAACAAGGATGGAACAGTTTATGAGCGAAAGGCCATTGAGAAACATCTACAAATGTAAGTGTGTTGCTGGATTCTGAATATTGGTTTGAATTATACATTAATGTACTACTACTAATAGTGCACTCAAATTATTACAACAACTAAATCTATGGTCATTCAGTAGTGACATAATCAATTGTTTGTCATTCCTTACGTGCAGAACTGTAGAACTGAAGCAACACATTGACAGCAACAATGCAATAATTGATTGCCTGATTGAGTTTTTTCTCTAAAAATTCTCCAAACAAGAAGTGTAAACAAGTATAAACAGTCCTTTGCTGGAATCTTGTGTGGTCCATTATGTCTGTAAACATTACAATGAAATAGCTAAATTAATGAATTAATTGACCCCATTTTTATGAGAATGGTCTACACTCTTACCCTTTTACAGGCAAAGGACTGATCCAAAAACAAAGAAACTTCTAAGACGAACTGACCTCAAGTCAGACAGAACCATGCAGAGAATGGTGAGGGAGCATCGCAAAAAGGAATATCTGGAGACAAGTGTTTGAAAACACAACATGGCAGACAAAATGTATGTCTTCCTGTCATATGCATTTTTGAGAGAAACATGATGATGGTGAGGGAAGTGTTACCCATTGGGTTACTGAATGGTATGAGATTTTCTAGAGGGCCTTCATCTTTGCGGGGGTTGTATCTACGCACTTCATGGGCAACTAGCTAAGATGTATATTATGGTAATTTCCCGTTAAACTTGGTTATTAATCAGTAGCATTTTTTAAATGTTAAAATGAGTTGTGTATCACAGTTGTCATTAGACTATTGTGATAATCAGATATCTAGGAGATTCCCAATATCTTGATATAGTGATGTGGGTTACTTTGAAATATGCTGTTATGCAAATTCAATGATGTGTGAGATAAGTCGATTAGTCTATTTTGGACCACCAGGCTGCTAATGTCATGCAGCCTGTAGTTTTTGTGTTTATACTTTTTCATAACACAACAACAAGTTTGATGTCGGACGACAATAGAATGTTCATGATGTCATTGCGACAACGCCCAATAGACGTAGTGTAAACCAGCCTTCAGTCTTGAAATCTTTGGTTGTTTAGGACATGGCCTCATGTGAATCCTTAAAGAGATTTGTGGGGCTAAGGCTTAAGAGGGTGTGAATGATGCTGAATGGGTGTAGACAAAGAAGAGCTCTCCAGTAGGTTTACCAAAACATTCAAGGGCCATTTTCTCAAAAGTGAGGTTACAAGTTTATAGACTTTCAAAGCAGAATTACTTTCCTATTGTTCCTCAACTATAGTGTATGATATACCATTTTCTAGCTGAGTCTCTACTTTTATCCAATGTAAAAAACACAATTCAACATTTTGCTACATAAGACCGAATTGAGCTGGTCGGTCAGATATAGTAATTCATTTAAAAGTAAAAAAAATTATGTAAGCAATTGCAGATTGCCCTTTTAAAGAATTATATGATATCAATTTTAAAAAGATAAGAATAAACATTGGTTATGATCCTATTGTTGAAGTATTTCTTGACTTTTTTCACACCATTTGTTGTATCTATTTTGAATATTCATTTATAATTAGCCTTAGTGTTTTTCTTTCGTGATGAATCCACCCTTGTCGGGTCAACACCACCTACACACAACTCACCAGGCCAGAGCCAGGACTCCCAAAGAGGGTGGGACTCCCAAACTGATGCAAGTCTGATGCAAGTCTACGCAACTGTTTAGTATGTGTAATGGTGGTGAGAATGTTTTTGTTCCCAGTGCTAAAACATGTACACAAGCGCACGCACACACACTGGCAGAAATAACTGTCATTCTCAAATAGAGTAAAGCAAATACATTAGTAGTAAATATAGCAATTATATTGTCTTTCATTTTTTCAAACAAGGTCAAACTAGAATGTTCTTGTCTCTTCAATTGAATTGAAACGACAAAATATGTAATATCATATCCATCACATTCTGATGAACTGATCTGCATAACCGTAATACAAATAGGCGGTTAGCGCACAGTGTTTGCTCTCTGATATAATCTACTGCACGTGCTGTGGGCTCAGGCTACCGTTATTGTTATAGAAATTCATGAGGCTTTTTAGAGCTCTGCTGCAAACCTCGGTCGTGGTGCAGATCTGTCAATATAGTATTTCCCTGAATAAATAATATAACATAGCTTTTTCATAACAGCGCACTTCTATTGAGAACGAAACATTAGCGAAATAAAATCCATTACAATTTTTGGAAGCATCGTGATCACCAGTATGCTGGGGGTTTTCTTTCAATTAAATAACAGCCAACCATTCATTCTTGTCGGAGAGGTGGTGCAGGTGGGTCAGAGAGAGAAAGGAAGGGAAGGTGAGAAACAGAGAGAGATAGAGTGGAAGGAGTGTGCATTTCAGAGCTGAGAGCTTTAATATGATGAGTAGTCTAGCTGGCTGCTAGGCCATTAACAGAGAGAGAGAGCTAGAAAGTGAGAGAGAGGGGATGAGAGGGAGAAGAAGAGAGAGAGCAGCATCTCTGTGTTAATAAAAGAGGCCTTTGCAGGAGACTGATTAGAAATATAATTTCCTGACTCTAGCTTTTTTTTTCTCATTAAATTGGGCGATGTAGGCCTGGGATATATATAATAACCTGGAGAGGGGTATACAATAACAGAGGGGTGATAGACAGAGAGTGAATTCTCACTCACTCACACACACAGGCGCATCCATGTACATGCACACGCACGGAGTTCCTTGCATGCACACACATACACACACACACACACACACACACACACTGAGTGCAGTGACAAACGCTAGCTAAAACCTGATGGCGGGCGTGTGGCGCAGGCGCTTTAATCAAATTCTACCCTCGCCGCTGTGATTTGTTTCCACGGTAGTTTAATCTCGCCTGTCTCTTCTGTCCCTCAAATAAAACCCAGGCATAAATAAACCAGCAGCTTTACTGTGGGACCAGCCAGGCACACGAACACGCACTCTATTTTCTAACGCCATGGCCGTGACCTACTTACTGTACAGTCAGTTAATACATGATTATTGTTATCTACCATTACTATTACTAGAAGGATCATTACTATTAGCAGGACTAATTAACTGTTATATTACATAATTATTGGCATTACTAATTACTATTTTTAACAGTCCACATAATTATAATTATTAATTTGTCTTAATAGCATTTGGTAATAATATTAATATTACTGCTAGCTACCACTACTACAAATGTCCTACTAAAAATATTGTTGTATGTAGAGTTTCTCATATACTGTAAATGTATGCATATATTCTAAATACACATTTATCTTGATGGCATTATTATCATGAGTTAGCAAGGCCATTCTGGGATGAAGCAGGCAGTATTTCCCTGCAGAGTGAGAGATGGCCTGATAAGTAGAAGTAATAAATAGCCCAATCCAGCCATGAACAGTATTTTTTTTTTCTCTCTCTCTCTCTCTCTCTCTCTCTCTCTCTCTCTCTCTCCTCTCTCTCTCTCTCTCTCTCTCTCTCTCTCTCTGCAGCCCCTGTGGCCAAAAAGGCATCTGCTGCTCATGCTGATGTCATCTGGAGATAATAACCAGGCCCAGCGTGGCACCAGACCACAGCCAGCTCTACGCCTCCCTCCTCTCTGCCATGCGTCGGCTTACTGGGAGAAGATCTGGCAACGCGATGCTGAGGAGGATAGCAACTCATGCACTACTGCAGTCAGCCCCATAGCCGCAGGGTTGTGGGAGCAGCAGTGAGGGACCGCAATGAGGGGTTACTGGGATCTGGCAACCTTCGGATGGAGAGTTTCAAGGATCTGGCAACCTCGGGGGTCTGCGGTAGAGATTGCACCCCCTGCAGGAAGCCCCATAGCTGAAGGGGGTTAGGACCCAGCGAGGGCGGATCTGCAGCGCACTGCTGGGATCTGGCAACCCGCAGCTATGGTGAAATACAAGTGCAACAACTCAACAGTCGCCACACTTCTGTCTGAAATACTAAAATAATTGGAGAACCTTGTCTCCAGTGTGTGTGCGTGTGTGTGGGAGGTATTTGGTTGGCATGGCTAATCGAGGCTAACAATTTTACTCCCCTTATCCTTGTCCTAGAAGGCTTCATCCAGCCCTACTACCACCTGCCTTACCAAAGCTTTTCTCCCACAACCCACCAGGGACTCCAACCCCCACCCTCCAAACCCCCACCACATTACCACAGAGTGGCCACTCTCACCCTAATCCACCTCCCCTGCCTCCTCCTCAGTGGTTTGTAGGAAATCTATGGCTGTGTCCCAAATGTTTCGCTGTTTAGTGCACTACTTTTGACCAGAACTATATAGGGAGTAGGGTGCCATTTGGGACGCACAGGCAATGTGTTCACTTTCCTAGAGTGGTTAAGAGCACCAGCAACATGGAATTGGAAGGTAACTAACTCGACACTCCTGCCATTTCCTAAAGGGTTTCTAAAATGGGTGTGAGTGGGAGAATTGAGTTACTTTGGGTGGGTAAGATGGTTCAGGCCTGGTCTCGCCGCCCACCTGCGCTGCGATCCATTACAATGGCTATTAAAGCTCCTGCTAACACGTGTCAATCTCTCCATTTGGACACTGAGTGGGAGGACTATTAAATGGCTGGATGGGCTCCTGCTTTCTACCTCTCAGTCTGTCTGTTTCTCTCTCTTTCTGTGTGTCTGTCTCCTCCTCCTCTCTGCCAGTCTCTCTCTCTCTCTCAGTAACTGTCTCCTGTCTGCGAGCATCAACTCCTCGGCTGACACTGATGCCTGCCTGCCTGCCTCTCTCTCGCACTCCATCTCAGTGAAGAGGAAAGAACGAAGCAGGGTAGATGGAGAAATCAAATTGTCTTCCGTCTAATTCCCTCTGACATCCAATTCGGCCTGCTTTTCTTTCTCCCCATCCTGGAGGGATGAGAGAGGGAGGAGGAGGGAAGAGGAGGAGGGGGTGGGCTGTGGTGGTAACCTGAGGAGGAGGGGGTGGGCTGTGGTGGTAACCTGAGGAGGAGGGGGTGGGCTGTGGTGGTAACCTGAGGAGGAGGGGGTGGGCTGTGGTGGTAACCTGAGGAGGAGGGATGTGTGTGTGTGTCTGGGTGTGTCTGTGGGTGCGTGTGCCTGTGTGTTTGTGTGTGTGTGGTGGGAGGGGGGTCAGTTGGCTGTGGGCAGATATTCAGAATCCCAACTGTCAGATGGATCGCAGATCAACCAAGGGCTGAAGGCTCCCCTCAAGTCAACACACACACTTCTTCAAGGATAGACTGACCAATACGCTTTCTTTCAAAATAACGTTTTCTTTCATGTAACAACCACGCATGAAATAAATACCATTGAAAGCAAATTAAGGGGGCAATTTAGATTCATTTGAATAATCTACATACATTTACATAAATTGCAATCAATTGCCGTAACCAAATATCCCAAACACTGTGACCGACCTAAGTAATACCCACCAAAAGAAGCAGTATCAAGAGACTGAAGCTCATCGCTATCCAGGGATTGCTTGAGAGGAAATGATGTCATAATTAAAAGGTATTGATATTTTCTTTCAGGGTCTCAGCAGTGCTCAGCAGGTCAGCTAATAAATGGTCATCATAGAGCCACAAGGACTGTGCTGGTCAGAGTATCTATCTCCATGGTGACTGGGACCTGTCCACTCCTATACCATTTTCACACTATCGTGCCGACCCCAACCATAGATTACTAGCTCTGATATATTATTTTCACACTGTCCTTTCCAGCATGGTTCCAACAGCTTTATAGGGCGGCAGGTAGCCTAGTGCTTAGAGTGTTGGGCTAGTAACCGAAAGGTCGCTAGTTTGAATCCCCTAGCCGACAAGGTGAGAAATCTGTCAATGTGCCCTTGAGCATGGCACTTAACCCTAATTGCTCCAGGGTCTCCCATTAATAATGGGAGACCCTGGCTGTGACCCCACTCTCCGAGGGTGTCTCAGGGAGAGTGGGATAAACACATTTCCAATTCACATGTGTATTGATACACACTTGTACATGTGTGAAATAGGACAAATATAAGCATGCACCAAATTATTATAACTAAAGTGGATGCGTAACCAGGCAAGACTGGCTCAGCAGTGAGAAAAGGATAATAGTGAGACTGACTGCCTGGGCCTTACTAGTCCACCTGGTCATCTCTGCTGACTAAGCTGGTCATCTCTGCTGACTAACTCCTTCTCTTTGTCATCCGTCTGTTTCTGTTATCACAGTGCCTTTCAGTCCTCCTACACAGCCTATGGAAGCCCCTAAATCCCCCTTTCTTTCTTTCTCTCTCATTCTTTCTGTCTCTCTCTACCCTATTCTATCTATCCCTCCTCTTTCTCTTCCCCATTTGCTCTCTTCCTGTTACTTCACTTCACTTCCCTCTCTCTCTCTCTCCCATCACATCTCCTCTCTCCGTCCGGCGTCCCTCGCTCCTCCCCCCCTCTCTCTCCTCCTCTCTCTCTCTCTCTATCCCTCTCTGTGTGTTGGCTGTGTTGGCTGACTGCTCTGTGGATGGCCGCTCCGTCCCGTCAGTGCTCTGACCCTGGCATTGTCTGGCCCCTGACTCTCCTCGACCCCTCACACAATGGTGCCTCACACACTGCCACCAGCCTCACTGCACCCCTGGTATTCACTGGGAGAAACACAGGAGAGGGTGAGATACAATAGAGATAGGTATGCTACATAGATAGAGCGATATAGAGCGAGAGAGATAGAGATAGAGGAGTTGTAAAGGGAGCCATAGCGAGATAGAGAAGATAGAGAGAGAGAGAGAGAGAGAGGGGAGAACGAGGAGAGAGAGAGCGGATAGGGAAGTGAAGTGAAGTAACAGGAAGAGAGCAAATGGGGAAGAGAAAGAGGAGGGATAGATAGAATAGGGTAGAGAGAGACAGAAAGAATGAGAGATAAAGAAAGAAAGAAAGGGGGATTTAGGGGCTGACACAGGACAGACAGGACTAGACATACAGAGAGGAGAGGGACAGACACAGGGAGAGAGGAGAGAGAGACAGACAGACAGGACAGGACAGACAGACAGACAGACAGACAGACAGAAGACAGACAGACAGGACAGACAGAAGAGAGAGAGAGGTAGGAGAGACGAGGAGAGAGACAGACAGGACAGACAGACAGACAGACAGGACAGAGAGAGAGGCCAGAGAGAGACAGGACAGACAGACAGACAGACATACAGGACACAGAGGAGAGAGAGCAAGAAGAGAGAGAGGGCGTGAGAGGTGAGAGAGAGAGTGAGAGAGGGCCTACAGTAGCACCTCGATCTTCTGCACAGATTTTGGTCAGACCTGGGCCCTGACAGTAAATCTCAGTAAGACAAAAATAATGGTGTTCCAAAAAGGTCCAGTTGCCAGGACCACGAATACAAATTCCATCTAGACAACCGTTGCCCTAGAGCACACAAAAAACAATACATACCTCGGCCTAAACATCAGCGCCACAGGTAACTTCCACAAAGCTGTGAACGATCTGAGTGGCAAGAAGGGCCTTCTATGCCATCAAAAGGAACATAAAATTCGACATACCAATTAGGATCTGGCTAAAAGATACTTGAATCAGTTATAGAACCCATTGCCCTTCATGGTTGTGAGGTCTGGGGTCCGCTCACCAACCAAGAATTCACAAAATGGGACAAACACCAAATTGAGACTCTGCATGCAGAATTCTGCAAAAATATCCTCCGTGTACAACTTAAACCCCAAATAATGCATGCAGAGCATAATTAGGCCGATACCTCCTAATGATCAAAATCCAGAAAAGAGCTGTTAAATTCTACAACCACCTAAAAGGAAGCGATTCCCAAACCTTCCATAACAAAGCCATCACCTACAGAGAGATTAACCCGGAGAAGAGTCCCCTAAGCAAGCTGGTCCTGGGGCTCTGTTCACAAACACAAACAGACCCCACAGAGTCTCAGGACAGCAACACAATTAGACCCAACCAATACATGAGAAAGCAAAAAGATAATTACTTGACACATTGGAAAGAATTAACAAAAAAAAACAGAGTAAACTAGAATGCTATTTGGCCCTAAACAGAGAGTACACAGTGGCAGAATACCTGACCACTGTGACTGACCCAAAATTAAGGAAATCTTTCACTATGTACAGACTCAGTGAGCATAGCCTTGCTATTGAGAAAGGATGCTGTAGGCAGACCTGGCTCTCAAGAGAAGACAGGCTATGTGCACACTGTCCACAAAATGAGGTGGAAACTGAGCTGCACTTCCTAACTTCCTGCCAAATGGATGACCATATTAGAGACACATATTTCCCTCAGATTACACAGATCCACAAAGAATTCTAAAACAAATCCAATTTGGATAAACTCCCATATCTATTGGGTGAAATACCACAGTGTGCAATCACAGAAGCAAGATGTGTGACCTGTTGCCACAAGAAAAGGACAACCAGTGAAGAACAAAACACCATTGTAAATACAACCCATTTATGTTTATTTATTTTCCCATTTGTACTTTAACTATTTGCACATTGTTACAAACCACTGTATATATACATAATATGACAATTTTAAATGTCTTTATTCTTTTGGAACTTCTGAGTGTAATGTTTACTGTTAATATTTATTGTTTATTTCACTTTTGTTTACTATCTACTTCACTTGCTTTGGCAATATAAACATATGTTTCCCATGCCAATAAAGCCATTAAATTGAAATTGAATTGAATTGAATTGAGAGAGGGAGAGAGAGAGAGAGAGAGAGAGAGAGATAATAAGTGTGTGTGTGACAGATGTCTGGACAGATTCACATGAGGCCGCTGCCACTCCTCGGTCATGTGCTTCACACCATGCCAGGTCAGCAGTGGGTCAGCACTCAGCAAGGAAGAAAGAGAGAGAGACAAATGTCTAGCCTACTGTTTGCTGATGATCTGGTGCTGCTGTCCTCAACCAAGGAGGGCCTACAGTAGCACCTAGATCTTCTGCACAGATTTCTGTCAGACCTGGGCCCTGACAGTAAATCTCAGTAAGACAAAAATAATGGTGTTCCAAAAAAGGTCCAGTTGCCAGGACCACGAATACAAATTCCATCTAGACACCGTTGCCCTAGAGCACACAAAAAAACAATACATACCTCGGCCTAAACATCAGCGCCACAGGTAACTTCCACAAAGCTGTGAACGATCTGAGAGGCAAGAAGGGCCTTCTATGCCATCAAAAGGAACATAAAATTCGACATACCAATTAGGATCTGGCTAAAAGATACTTGAATCAGTTATAGAACCCATTGCCCTTTATGGTTGTGAGGTCTGGGGTCCGCTCACCAACCAAGAATTCACAAAATGGGACAAACACCAAATTGAGACTCTGCATGTAGAATTCTGCAAAAATATCCCGTGTACAACGTAAAACACCAAATAACGCATGCAGAGCAGAATAAGGCCGATACCCGCTAATTATCAAAATCCAGAAAAGAGCTGTTAAATTCTACAACCACCTAAAAGGAAGCGATTCCCAAACCTTCCATAACAAAGCCATCACCTACAGCGAAATGAACCTGGAGAAGAGCCCTCTAAGCAAGCTGGTCCTGGGGCTCTGTTCACAAACACAAACAGACCCCACAGAGCCCCAGGACAGCAACACAATTAGACCCAACCAAATCATGAGAAAACAAAAAGATAACTACTTGACACACTGCAAACTAGAATGCTATCTGGCCCTAAACAGACAGTACACAGTGGCAGAATACCTGACCACTGTGACTGACCCAAAACTAAGGAAATTGTTGACTATGTACGGACTCAGTGAGCATTGCCTTGCTATTGAGAAAGGCCACCGAAGGCAGACCTGGCTCTGTGCACACTGCCTACAAAATGAGGTGGAAACTGAGCTGCACTTCCTAACTTCCTGCCAAATGTATGACCATATTAGAGACACATATTTCCCACAGATTACACAGACCCACAAAGAATTCGAAAAACAAATCCAATTTTGATAAACTCCCATATCTATTGGGTGAAATATCACAGTGTGCAATCACAGCTGCAAGATTTGTGACCAGTTGCCACAAGAAAAAGGGCAACCAGTGAAGAACAAACACCATTGTAAATACAACCTATATTTATGTTTATTTTTTTTTCCCTTTTGTACTTTAACTATTTGCACATCATTACAACACTGTATATAGACATAATATGACACTTGAAATGTCGTTATTCTTTTGGAGCTTTTGTGAGTGTAGTGTTTAATGTAAATTTTTTATTGTTTATTTCACTTTTGTTTGCTATCTACTTCACTTGCTTTGGCAATGTAAACATATGTTTCCCATGCCAATAAAGCCCCTTCAATTGAAATTGAATTGAGAGAGAGAGAGAGACAGAGAGACAGAGAGACAGAGAGAAAGAGAGACAGAGAGACAGAGAGCGAGAGAGAGGACCTGGAGTGTAGATGAGAGAGAAAAAATGTGAAGTGTAGCTGTACAGAGAGAGAGAGAGAGAGAAGCAGAGAGAGAGAGAGAGAGAGAAGCAGAGAGAGGGAGAGAGAGAAGCAGAGAGAGAAGCAGAGAGAGAGAGAGAGAAGCAGAGAGAGAGAGAGAGAGAGAGAGAAGCAGAGAGAGAGAGAGAGAGCGAGAGAGAGAGAGAGAAAGAGAGAGCGAAAGATCAAGCCTTAATTTATTGTACAGCACATAGCAGCAGGAGCCATGGCACAGTACCAAAGGAAACGAACGGCAAGAGTCAAAATGAGAGAGCGTTTCTTTCCGACTTTCCGACGTGTTTTGGTCTGTAATGTCTGAAGTGAAGAGCACATGTTTAAGTTCTAGTTATGAGTTATGAGTGGGCTGTTGTTTTCAAATAGAGCCACGGTTTCACTCCCATGTTTAAATATGCAATGCTTGGCTGTGAAACCATTTCCTATGATAGACTGTGCTGTGAAATGAGAGGAAACCAGTATAGAAAAAAAAGGCACAGGAGGCATGGGGGAGCGTGCAGACACACTGAAATAAATCTGGAGTGATTGCAAGTGACATGCCTGCAGCTCCGACATCCAAACTCTATCAATTAAACATCAAATCCTGATCCTACACAATAGGATGCCAAACCCATTCTTCATTGCTTTAATCCTCAATGCTGAAACCCAGCCCAGTTCACAAGCTAGCGTGGACAAATAAAAAAATCAAAGCATTTTAAACTAGCCCTATGGCGCAGGGGTGTTGGGGGGAAGACAGCATGCGTGTGTGAGTGGGGGAAGTGGGGGGCAGGCAGTGTGTGTCTGTGTGTGAGGCATGGTGTGTGTGTGTGTGTGTGTGTGTGTGTGTGTGTGTGTGTGAGTGAGGGAGACAGTGTGTGTGAGAGGCATGGGGGATAGGGTGTGTGTACTGTGGCCAATCTGCCTCCTCCTCCTTCTCTTCCCTCCATGGCAGGGTCTTGGCTGCATTCACAGTGCAGGCATGTCACTGTCTTTAATGAACTCCGACATCACACAAATCACTGGAGTGGTTTCTCGGCAACTGGAGGGGATTTTGGACCCTGGTGGAGCCAAAACCGTCTTCCAGAGGGAAATTGATTCATTGGAAGTCTTCACAAAAAAACAACCAAGTCAATAATCACCACAAGAGCTAAAGGAGGACATTGATTCAGTCTTCTGTTTTCCTGCCAGTAGATGGATATCAGAGAAGTCAACCCTGACATATGGCCAGAGAATAGCCTGCCCAGTCTGCCACATGCATGTAAGATTGGAAAGACATGCTGCTTTCACATTGTGGTGAAATCCCAAAATCTATTTCCCACTCACTCTTAATCTTCCCTCTTCCCTCTTCCCTCTCTCACCATCTTTTTTCTTTCAACCACTCCCACAAACGGTTATTAATTTATTTCTGCCTCCCCCGTGTGGCCGTTGACATTTATAGGCAGGAATGCAGTCAATGCAGCGAAACCCAAACCAACGTTTGACAGTAAAGTTTTAATTTGAGGCTAAATTTGAAAGTGGTGAAATCTAATAACTCCCAACTCCAAAGTTATGAGTATGATGTCATATCGCATGTTTATCTTGTGAGAAACCCCATAAAATGTGATTTATATTCCAGAGGTAGTGGTCATGAGGTCTGTCAATTGTAAAATACTTACATTGACTATTTTATATAATTACAAAGTCATTTAGCACACATCTAAAATATTTTGGTAGAAAAACGAACGAACGGCGGTAAGGCTCGCGCGGTTCTGCATGCATCTCCAATTTTAGGCTGCAGGTGTCGGAGCTTAATTTGAGAGTAATCTACAGCAGGAAAATATCCTGCAGCGAAAGGATTATTATGGGGATAATAATTAATGTAAATTTCTTGTTGTGGTTTCTACATTTAGTGGAGATTACAAACTTCAGAAGCCTTTTTAAACCCCAAATACACTACACGTTTTACATTTCATGCATTGCAGGATGGTTCTCCTGCAACAGGGTGATCAAATTAAGATCATACACATGTACCCACCTTGAGCGAAAGAGTGAATGGTAGGCCTCAAAAGCTATGTTCACACAGGCAGCCCATTTCTGATATTTTTTTCACTAATTGGTCGTTTGACCAAGCACATCAGATCTTTTAACATCAGATTTATTTTCAGAGCTGATCGATACAAATCTTGCTATCAACGTCCATGTTGTTGGTGTTAAATGTGTCTATTGCTATGACATAGTTTTAAAATACCGGTACAGTAACTTGCTTGTTAACACATAACTAGCTAGCTTACCTGTGTTTTCAGGCACGGGTAGTAACGTTGTCAACTATTCCTAAATACGCTAATTATCTAAACTCCCACGTTGAGCTTAATTGTTGCTTTACCTAAACGTTGGATAAGTAATACGCTATAACATAATTTACAAAATACAATATGTTTGATAAATCGGAGAAACAGAAATGTTGTGTGTAACCTACGTTCACCCTTTAATCTTGCTCCCTCTGCTGGTTACATTGGATCATCAACCGTTAAAATGTACCTGGTGCATGCACACGCACACTTCAAGCTTAAAGGCTAATTAATTACATGTGTTACCAAAATGAGAGATGACATTTGGAAGAAACCAAACCAAATATTCTTCTTGAGGACTTTGCTTTGACAAAAATTTGCAAATACTAAATGAATAACATAATAAAATGTATTTAGTTACAAAATAATTATATATTTGATATAATAGTATTTCCTTACAGTGTCCAAAAGATTGTAATGCATCTGTAAACACATTTTGCAACAATCGTATGGCAAGACAAACACATAATAAAACAATTTCAATTACACAAAATAAAAAATGTATTGCCGTAACTCTAATCCACCACCATCTGTTGATTAATTTCATAGCCTATATCTATGATGACAATTATCGTAAACATTCTTACCAAAAATGATGGCAAAACTGATAACACAATAAGCAGGTTTTAGACAGCTGGCTCAGGGACAGTGCCTAATACCTGGTGGTTATTTAGGAGGGCATGGAAAGATCATAATGAGAGGATGTTAGTGGAAGAGAGAGGGAGGAGTTGGACATAAATCAAGTTGGCTAAACCTGTCGCACAAGAGAAATCCCCTGCATGACAATGCTTCATTCTCATTCCTAGAGTGAGTGACTGAGGGTCAATGATACCTGAGCTCTGTGTACAGTCATCATATACATAATAAAATACGAGTTAACATCATACAGGAGATACCAGTTACTTTGTCACCCTTTAAAAAAGTGGTATTCAAACATGTCTGGGGACCCCATTCCCCCCCCCCAATCATTTCTAGCGACCCCACCCCACCCCAAATCTATTGACACAACCTTAAAATCTGTAAATTAAAATGTTTACATCAACAAATAACCTTCAATTAATTGCATTTTAATCTCTTACAAAATGAAAATAAATAAATAAATACCTTTACTCAATACAATTTTATTTTTCTAATGATCTTTCTCAAAAAACCTTTGTATATTGTCCCATAAGATAATCTGTACTCTTTATTTGTATATATTATTATAAATGTTATTTTGGCGACCCAACTGCAGTTCCCCCGCGAGCCCAATAGGGGTCCAGACCCAGACTTTGAATACCACTGCTTTAAAAACATGTTCCAACATAAATCCATATAATGCCTACTATCATTACACTTCAACCCTACTTTGAGTTGCACACTTCAGTATAGGCAATTAAATCCCTCATTGTATGGAAACTTTAACTGTCAGAAATCTTGTCAACATAGTCTGACTGAAATGTCTACATTACATTTCAGGTGTGACTTGGGTAAGACTATGGTTTCACAGGTTTGTTGAAATCCTGTATATAATACAGTACATTATATATACTGTATATAATACAATACAATTCACAGTATATAACAACATCATATCTTTATGATAATAAAGATATTTGAAAAACTGTTCCCAAAAACAATACAAGAAAATAAAGGTTGGAAAAAACAACAATAACTTAATGAAGCTAAACCAAAGTGCAGGTACATAATAATATAATATGCCATTTAGCAGACGCTTTTATCCAAAGCGACTTACAGTCATGCGTGCATACATTTTTGTGTATGGGTGGTCCCGGGGATTGAACCCACTACCTTGGCGTTACAAGCGCCGTGCTCTACCAGCTGAGCTACAGAGGACCACGTCTCCTACATCTCCTCATAATACCTTCATTACAGATTAATATGCCTTGTCTCATAATGGCCAGGTATGTAATGCCTATTGCAACCCTCCTCAGTTTTATCCATTTACAAATATTCCAAATAATTATTTTACAAATAAGGAATTCAAAGACATCCAATTTGGCCACCAGTGCCCCCTCAACAAACTTCACAATGATGCCTCTGATGCCCTAAATTCACCACAAATCAGGCTCCACCCACACAATCTTCTTCTGCTCCTCCCAGATGATGGAGCGCAGGGTGGTGAGCAGGGCGGTGCTGTCGCACCACGAGCCAGGGCTGATGCTGCGGTAGAGGCAGGGCAGCTTGTCCAGCAGGGGCTCCTCGCTGCGAGAACACTCAAGCAGCTGCTCCTCGGACCAGCCCTGACGCTGCACCTTAGACCTGGGAGAGAGGGGGAGGAGGCAGGAGGAGAGATGGAGGGGGGAAAAAACAAGAGGGACGAGTAGAGAGAGAGAGAGAGAGAGAGAGAGAGAGTAGAGAGAGAGAGAATCCAGAGGTAGAAAAAGACAAATAGGGTAAAAGGAGAGATGGAGGGAGAGAGAAGAGAAATTAACACAAAGATACATCATGTAGAAGGGGCAATGGAACAATATTGCTACCATTCATATTTCTTATCAAAAGTCACACAATGGCCTACTTGAGTTTGCGTGCGCTGCACTTGGACTGGGCGATGAAGATGATGATGGGGAAGATCTCTGCCCTGTGGAGGCGGCGTACACAGTCCAGGCCTAGAGGCAGCACACAGTGGGTACCCTGAGAGCAGAGGAGAGGAGGAAGAGGAGAGGAGTTTCGGTACGGTCAATACTGCAGCTGCACAAATAACAGGGCCACTGAAAAAAAGGGAGGTATTATAGTTTGTGGAAAACGGTTCAAGTAAGTCATAAACCATTAAAAAAATATATATATAATATCAGTATGTCAAATACAGTGTTGTGGCATTTTGACTATCCCACCTGCTTCATGACCCTCTCAACACTCTGCAGGGTGTAACACCGCTGACCCCCTTGTTCACACTCCTCCAGCACCTCTGACCTCTGCAGCCTGGCAGCGTGCTCGCTGGAACTCAATAACTCTGGGGATAGGGGAGGGAGGGAGGGAGAGAGGGGAAGAGATAGTTAAAGGAGATGGTGAGACAGCAGGTATGAGGAAAACAAATATTTAATCTTTATTATCGTCACCTTCAGCTACTGTGCTAATAATAGATCATCTCATTGGAATTCCCCTCTGGGCTTGGGGGCAGGGGGATATGCAGTTATTGGATGAAATAAAAAGAAAAAAGAGAGAAGGAGAGAGAGAGAGAAAGAACGTCAGAAAAAAAAGATACAAATTGAAAGAATCCTTCCTAACCTGGCTCACACAACTGAAAGCCCTGCCACTCGGCCAGCTTCTTATCCAGGACACGGCCGAGGATTGTGGGTAGCAGGAGGACCGGACGGCAGACGGGTGGGTAGTGGGGCGTGACCAGGGTGTAGGGCATGAGGGTCACACAGCCTCTGGGCGCAGAGACATCCCCTAGAGGAGAGGACAATATTAGGACACACCAGGTTCAGGTCAATAACTAAGGCGACATTATTACTACGCATCATAGGTGTTAGAGCTGTGACGATACCAGTTTCGCAATATTTTTTCCTTTGCAAAAATGAAAACAAGATACTTGCCGTGATACCTGTATCGTCCCGGCCCTAATAGGTATGGTAATATCATAGCGCTGGAGTTAATCAAACCTGCCTTAGCAATGTTTATGCACTGTTTAGCAAACTTGGTTTGATGCAGAATTTCAATGGGCGACATGTTGTTTGGCTCCAACATGGAGGATAGTCTGTTATTTACATTTTAGTCATTTAGCAGACGCTCTTATCCAGAGCGACTTACAGGAGCAATTAGGCTTAAGTGCCTTGCTAAAGGGCACATCGACAGATTTTTTACCTAGTCGGCTCGGGGATTAGAACCAGCAACCTTTCGGTTACTGGCACAACGCTCTTAACCACTAAGCTACCTGCGATATGACGTCTATGGTTCTGGCTCTGTTATGTTTTGTATATTCTTGTGTACAAAAATGACTTCCTATCCAGCCTTGACTGTATCTGATATATACCTGGCCCAGTGCTCTTGTCCTTGCTGTCTTCTACACAGACCCACAGAGGATTCCTTCCCTGTCTCCCAGTACTGACAATCCTCACCGTCTTCTTCTTCTCCTGGGCCTGAGGACCCAGCAAACAATGTGGTAACCCGAACATTTGACAGTGGTTCTGAGGGATATTCACATGACATGACTACAACATTTTCTTCATGAATGTTCGGTTAACACATTCTAGAAACGTCAAAAACAAACATTTTTGGAACACACACATTCGCGGGAAAGGAGTGTCACTTGACCGTAACTCAGAACCCTAAAGCGAGTTGGATTTTGGTTAGAGTAGTTCTGCAAACTATGAAACTAGTGAATGATACCTTTCTAAGTGTCATGGGTTGAAAGCTCATGTCCTCGATAGCTCTGATCAGCAGGCGTTGGGCCCTGCAATGACAATTAACATATCCTCACTAATATCATTTATACAGTATGTCATTTATGTATTGGCCAATTCAATCCTACAGTAATTCTTAACAGTATGTCATTGTATCAAACATAGATTACATGTACCACATGTTAGTTCTCCAGAGGGGGATAGATATAGCCTAGTCCCAGATCTGTCTGTGCTATAGTGGTCATAGGAGTTGGTAAGATAGCACAAACAGATCTGGAACCAGGCTAGGATAGAAAGAGTCCATGTCAACAATCCAAGCCCCCATGGTGGGTACTGGGCCCAGTACCTGTAGTAGTTAGGCATGTTGTGTTGTAGAAACATTTGACTAGATAATCAACTCAAAAATATCTCTCAAGACATCGGAGCCTGTGAATTTAAGAATTTAGACTTTATTGAATACAAAGCCGAGTTTGGTCCATGGAGCCACAACTGGCTCTCCTTGGCTCAAAGATCTCCTTTTTATACACACAAATGCATAATCATGTTACATAGCATATACAGTCCCTCCCCTTAGGGCAAATGATTAACTTATTTTAGTACCACTCTACCTTAGCTTTCAACGTCCAGATGTCACCTATAATGTACTCCAAAAGGTCATGGGCGCTTTTCCACAGGAAGCCTCTTCCCTAATCGCATTATATTGGTAGCAGACCCTTTCCCTAATCTCATTATATGGTTGCAGACCCCTTCTTTACAAATAATATACGTACATACATTAAGGCATTTATCATTTACCATCCTCCCTGGCCCTTGAGTTTATGTGCATGTGGCCATGTGTCAGGTCATAGGGTCATAAGCAAAACAAATGATAACACTAGGTCCATTGTTACTCCAATCTCCACACAGCCATCATAAGGAGTTGTATCTCCATCACATGTCATTGACATGCCCAGACCATCTGCAGGGAGTTTATGATAAACACACAAATGTCTCTGCTCTGTATTAACCCCTCAACTGGCTCTCAATCCATAAACACTCCAAGGCATATAGGTTTTCAATTTTACAACATATCCATGCTTATTACTAATATTATTATTTTACCTTTGACCTTTCCCTACATTTACCTTCATGATACATAAAATAATACCATATATCCCCCCTATGGGACATTCCACCAATGTCCCATCAATACAAAGATTAATCACCCATATCACAAGTATTATAACAATCAAAATAATCAATATCCATATCTAATCAAGTAATTGCCATGTCGACATTACTAAGCATTAATATTAATAAGTTATTCAGATCAGTCAGTCCAATTATAATTTATAATCATAATCAAATGAATTACCCAAAACAACTTTAGAATGACAATTCTTAATTAGTCACCTTTGTTCCATCATTCAAAGTAAAAACTCTCACCTTGGCACATATTGATACTGGCCGAATGTACATTTATATTATACTAATTCTAGCATTTAACTTCCTCATAACAAGAATTACATCAGATCAGTACCCTAATGCATTGTCCAAATTACTATAAATTTAGTAGTGTATAATACCTCCTTAATCAACATACTACCTCAACTAACACTCCCTTCCTCTACCGGCACTCAATCTTCTGGCGTCTTCATTATGTTCTTCATTATGTTCTTCATTATGTTCTTCATAGTTCATCTTGGATTACCCATAGCAATGTCCCAATTCCAATGTCACACCTGAACCGCCACACCTCCACCATCATCCTGTTTTGTCCATGTGCAAACCAGTACATTGCTTTGATTTGATGCTGGATTCAGTTCTCCTGGCAGAAGTGGGTCGGACAGGAACCTCTTCAACGCCTTTGTTGTTCCTCTTCAGCCGAGTAGAGGATTTTTGGTTTTTATTGAGGTTTACACCGTTCTGGGCCAAATGATCTCTGCAATGCATTACGACACCATCCGTAGTAACCTCAGGAAAGGACAGATCATAACAGTTCAGTTGAGTTAATTTCCAATCCAACACATCCCTATTAACATAGTCCACATGACAAATCATTATGTTTCACATTCTCCCTTGAATTCTCCCAAATTATATAACCCAATTGTTTTATTGTAACATTCCTATATTTTCGCTCATACTCTATTTGACATTACTCTGGTGTTTCCCTTTCCTTGTTCCTATTCTAACAATTGCTTACACTTCTCTCTTCTAATAACACTTTCCCCTGGAAATCTAACACCAAATACTGCATCAAATTGTTTATCTAAGTCTTGGACTGTTTTCCTTATGTCTATGATTCACCTGTCTCTTTCTTTCATAACCTTAAGGTCACACTACCCCATGTGACTTCCCCATACTCTTTGTGCTGGTTTCTCACACACCAATAATATTTTAACCCTTTTATTCTAATAGTGATCCCTTCTGTGTCTTTTCCTTCTGCTCTTTATTATTATCAGTACTCCATTCCCCTTATTCTCAGATAACTAGTCAAGTGTAGAGAAATCAATGATAAGGATATCTGGTGCATCTTGGAGGTCTGGAATCTCTCAATCATCAGTTCCCTCACTCTGGTACAATGGTTAAGATGATACCCGATACTCCCCTCTATCAGTACCATCGTTGGTATAACCTGGACAACGATGTGTATGGTTACTTCAATTGTTAACCTTCCCCCGTCACTAGGGTCTCCGGATCAGCCAGAGTCCCTCTCAATCTAGCGACATCGGTCTGTGAAAAGTGTCCTTCTATCAGCCTACCCATAGGGAAGCTCAGAGTTACTGCTGCAAAGACACAAGCACAGACACACACAAAAGACAACAATGCTACCCAATGGCTGAGGTTGGAACACTCCTATAGTGGGAAACATGAATCTTAGTATCTGTCTCCACCACTTTTCCCATCATTAAGGTAGCCAACCACACCTGTAACAGGCCCAACACCTAGGGTCTTTCCAGTTCTTTCTTTTGTAGTCTTTTGCCATCACATAGTCTCCAGGGCACAGAAAATACTCAGATTATCCTACTCAGTTGGGCAGAGTTATCTTCACCCATGAAAATAAAATCTTAAGAACATTGTTAGGTTAGGTGAGACAAAGTATGTTACTCATGTCCTCTCATCCGTCAAGAGAAGCCTTGAGATTATGAAGCACACCTGCTTCCAGCTTGTTGTAGTCCACTTATTTCATGCCTCCTATCACAAAGACAAAAAAGATTTAACCTAACCCATAACACATTATTACTACTGCTCATATCCTTAATACACCTTGCATATTTCCCCACAAAACCATTATAAAATATTAAAACCTCTGTAATCCCAACTTCCCCCCTTGGACACATGCATCACATCGTGATTCATGTGTTCAAAAAACAAAACAAAACAATATTGCCTATCAAACCTAAAATAATAACTAACCTTAAACTGACAACCCTTGAGCATATCTTTACTTAACTGTGTTCCATAACACTATTCAAGGAATACTTCTCCTTCAGGACTAACTCTCTCACCTCATCCTTGTCCTGTTTGGACTAATTTATATATAGGATTTTTTCCAAATTATAAACTTCTTCACAATTATCCTTATTTTATCTAACCCCCTAATTCAGCATGCCTCTAGAATTCATAGTGCGGGTGATCAGGTCACACTATAAAGCCAGGACAGATTTCAGAGGTCATTGAAATCATTCAATGAATTGTTTCATCCTATAGTTGTCAGAGTGGTGTGTGTAGATGAGGAAGGAATCAAGCGCAGGAAACCAGGAGGACTTTAACAGAACTTTAGTCAAGTCTGACACGACAATAAACGTCAACCCAACCGGGTGGCGCAAACAGATTACGCACGAAACACTGTGCGGAGAAAACAAGAAAAAGCGCACGCAGTGCGAACTCTCGTAACACATACGAGCGACTCAAAATATCGAGCAACAGCTGACAACAAGACAATCACGCATAACACCTGACCCAAACACACGAACTAAATAAGGGAACAATTAAGACACAAATAAGGGACAGGTGTTATGAACAGACAAAACCAAAAGAACATGAAACATAGAACGGTGGCAGCTAGTACTCCGGAGACGACGACCGCCGAAGCCTGCCCGAACAAGGAAGAGGAGCAGCCTCGGCCGAAACCGTGACAATAGTATACTACTTCTAACAACCATCAAAACCTTTCATAAATGTTGTAATTCCTTAGTACAGCTCTTTTCAAAATAAATCATACATATTTACTTATCCCTCAGTAAATAACCCAAATTACATGTGTATGCCCCTTTAAGATATTTCACTTCCATCCTGTCAAAAAACCCCAAATAGAAATAAAAATCCTATACAGCTAACATTCCATACTAAGTAGTTTGTTTGTGGTTATTTGAACACCATATAGTAAAACAATAAACAAACAAAAATGGCCAGGCCTTATTTATTTTTGTAGCTCCCTATGACAACCTAAAAATAAAACTACTTAATTTTACTAACTAGCTCCACCCTAGCCGACAGACTTTTTCAACCTCCCAATAAAGAAATCCCCATGTTCCTGGAAGAGAAAGTATACATGTCGTTAACATATAATCAACAATCCAAAGATAGTAATTACACACAAAACATCATACATATATCCCCAGTCCTATCTTATCAACAATCATTAACCCCAGCATCGATTTAAAATTGTTTGATACGTCGTGTCCTACCTTACCCCTAACATAATATTATAGGAGACTCCCATCAATCATTAAAAGAAACTCCCACTTAGAAGACACTAGATAATAACACATTTTATTAAGTTAACTACA